AACAGTTAGGAAGCAAGACTGTTAATCAGCCAATTTTGTCACTTCAGGCTTATACATTAAAGCTGCACTTTGTACATTTTGGGGATTTGGAGACCTCTCTGGCAGAAATGAAATTCTGTAGTGTTGGTTGTGTTTCTGACCCCTTTCCTGAGCGGATGAATCTGATGTTTGTGAGCGTGTGGAAAGAGAATTCAAGGAGGACTCAGTTAAAACTAGATGAAGGATGAAAGTGATTCATCTGCTATTCTACTATCATCATATTTTCATTAGTACAAAGTTGATTTATCATTGTGATCTAAAATTTGAGCTGGACAGAAAAACCCTCGCCAAATCTGACCCAACACCTCTGACTTTTATTTTATAATTTCAGGCTTTACCGGAGACTCGCAGCAGCACACACACCCCATAATTTTAGCTTCTTTTTTCTCTCTATTTCTTTCAATTTTAACAATAATTACATAGTGCCGCTTTAATGGTTGCAGTCAATGAATAAAAAAGACAATGAAAATTTAACAGTACTTATTTCTATGGCACATAATCATCAGCTAAAACTTGATGGTGACAGGCCTACATACATCACACTTCCAGCTCTATGCCTCCCACCTCCTGTTTGTATCAGTAGGTTTTACACTGACGAGGATAATCATACTCCCTTAAAATTTTGTTCAAACTATTGCTAGAACATCTAATTATGAACCCAGAATAAAATAAGCCAAGAAATGGCACACACACACACCACACTTTTTCTAAGGTGCTTATCCTTCTGGGTCGTGGGGGGGAGCTGGAGTCTGTCCCAGCGGTCAATGGGCAGAAGGCAGGAGCTAAGAAATACACTCCTAAAAAAAATATTTATGTATGTGTAAATGCAGTTTAGAACCTGCAAAAAAGCACAATTGCTCCTAGTCTCGAGATCTAACTGTGCCGTGCGCCCTGTACATTTAGTTCCATAGTAACTCTTCTCTACTGTGATCCCACAGAGATCCAAACTGCTCTCAGACGCTGGCAGCATTTCGAAGTGGTGTGGAATGGGCTAGAGATGGGAAGTTCACACAGCAAGATGTGGATGAGGCGAAATTGTCTGTCTTCTCCGCTGTGGATACCCCGATCGCCCCCTCAGACAAGGGTTAGACAAAAGACCAATGAACCAAACATTCATTTCTTTCTTTTTGACCCTCCTTTTAAGCATACAGCCTTGTGTCCCTGCCTTTACTATTGCAAATAACACTCCCAAGATGTTAACCTTATAAAGATGTACTGTTTATGTCAAGTTTCATGACATTCGGGGGAGCTTTTCTGTATGTGCATTTAGGGTAATTAATAATTGTGTACAAAAATAGTTTTTCTTAGGCTTGTTGCTTGGACTTTCTAAAAATGTCTAAACGTCTGCATCTTTACTGTTCTGCAGGTCTGGGGCTGTTTTTAAATGGGATCAGTGATGAACTGAAACAGGCTCACAGAGAGAGACTCTTTGCTGTAACGCACAAAAACCTTATAGATGTGGCTGGCCGGTAAGAACATTTTTAAAAAAAATGAAAACATATTAAACATAACCTCATAACGTCACTGTTTAACTCCCCTATTTCCATACAAGTCACTGTGTTCTCCATACAGCTTCCCTCTCCAGCTAAAATAAATGTTAAGCTATTAGTAACAATAGTAAATATCGTCGCTGTCATTTCAAAACCTTTATTTTCAAATTCTGGACAAGCACTATCCACATGGTTGCCAGGAGTCAGAATCGACTTGATGGCACCAACTTGTGAACATTTCATGATAGGAACTTGTCCAGAATCTTCTTATATTATATTAAAAGGTCAACATCTTCTAGACCTAAGTGGTTATGTTATGACAGTGATTTAAATGTTTTCCTTATCAATATGCATATCGAAAATCTTTCCAAATTGAATGTTTACACTAACATTAGCTATGTGGGGAAATACTGGTAAATGCATGAACTGATGTTTTGAGGCATTACAGTACATATTTTCTTCACATTCATTAATGCTTTTGTCTGTAGCTATCTTGGTATCGGACAGAGGACGTGTGGACTGGCAGTTCTAGGTCCCAAAAATGAAAATATCAAGAAGGACCCATCTTGGATTGTGAAATAGCCATTTTTTCTGCTTTGATACAGGCTTTTAGTTACTGGATCATCAAATCACTCCTGGATTATTTAAAATGGTGTCATCAGAATCTTTCCTATTGCTTTGAAGATTTCACAAACATTTTTTGCAATGCACATCACATGGATACATGTGGGTGGAAGAAATGGACTTAAAACCCTGGACACACTGAGATACAGCAGATTTATCAGTTTTATTTGATAAAAAATGTGTAACAATTTTTTTCAGTAAGCAGACTTCCATCTATTTCAACTTCACAAGCACGTCTTTACAACTGTCAGTACTGGAGATCTAAATGTAATTCTGAATGCCAAGTTTGTATTGCCAGTAGGTTCTTCTGACTGATGCAGCAGAAAAAAAAAAACATTCCTTATTTGATCCATTACACTCAATACTGGTACTTTTTTTTAACCTGTGCCTGAATATCTTTTTCCAGTGCGAGCTACGAACTACAACTCTCTCGAAATCAGTGTCATATTACTGTTTCAGAACAAAACTGATTTAGTGTTTGCAAGTTTTTATATTGTAAACAACTTTAAACGCACAATGTAGTCTGTAATGGGTGTGCATCGAAGCCAGTGGTTTAGGTCCCAATCCAGGATAAGAAATGCACTTCTGGGCTGATTCTCAAAGTTTCCTTTATATATGGCATGACTGTCATGGTGAAAATAATTTTAGATGAGCAGTCCTGCTCCCAAGTTGGTTTGTGAATACAGCCCATGATTTTTCTGTGTTTTCCATGCTTACAGAATTAATTCATCAGCTAATTTGCAAGCCCTTTATGAGAGCTTTGAGAGGAGGTAAAAGAGTGTCCAGTGGTGGGACTTGTAGTCATTTTTTTATAAAATAAATATTGTGTTTATGTTGCACATTGCATATTCCTTCTTCCATTTTCCATTCAAAGTGAATGTGTTTTTAAAGGAATAGTTTAAGCATTGATAATTATTACAAATAAGTGTTAATTCTCTGGTAAAATGAATATCTCATTATTTTGCTTTCTTTTACCTACCTGGATTCAGTCTTGCACTTTACTGGTGTAAGAAGGTGTGAAAATGGAATAAGAGACCATAAAAACTCATTGCTGCTATATTATGACTAATCAGTGCCCCTTATTACCTTAATTATTCAACATTGATTAATTATTCAACAATGATTATTCAACATCTCTGCATAATAAAATGGTTGTCATTCAGAGTGGTTTGGTGTAAAATGCTCCATTCTAGAGAAACTTGCCAAGTCATGATTGCTCCCATACATTTTGTTTGCAGTTTTGAGGTAACGTTGTGGTCTAAAACATTTGTTTTTAATCTCCTCATGGCTGAAAGGTTGTAAGGCAACATAGCCCCCAAAGAATTTTTTTTCAGATTTACCACTGTTTTACCACTGTTTTACCATCACCATCACAAAACTCAGAAGACACATGTAGGTTCACAGGTAGTTTGATATAGTATATAAAATGGCTATATTTGTGTTATAGACATCGTGACCCCTGGCTCCTGTAAAGAAACCGTCGTTAAGTTTCTCTACAATGATCTGTTTCACATTAAACCACTGTGAATGACTTTGTTTACTCCTTAACAGCTGAATTATGCAAAAATATTGCAGAAAAACGAGAAATCTGTAAGCATAACTGAATAATGAAAACATCAACAGTCTGTTGTCCTCTCTTGATGAAAATAAAGTTTCTCCTCACTGGGCTGGCAAATACTTAATCTATTTTGACTGAATTTTTGGGCTGGAGCAAAAAGTTTGTTATTAATTGCTGAGGCTGCTGTGAGAAATGTGTAAAAGTGAAAAAAGTGAAAGTGGAATTGTACTAATAAATTGTACTCTAATAAATGATACAATTGAGAACAGCCTTGTTGTTTTAATTCTTTAATATATTGTGCAATTATAGTCATTGTTATACACCATCTGTTTTACTTGCTTTGTGGTCATCACTGACTTTTATAAAACTTTTATAAGTCAACATAAATTATGAACTACACATTTAGAGCAGCTTATAAAGCAGTGGCAGCATGTGAAGTATTATCTATACATATGTATTCCAACCAGGATTGAACTGTCTGAGGGTCTACAAGGTCCAGATTGAAAAACAGATAACTTTGTGCTCAATTTATGGTAGTGGAGTTGAACATTAGATCACAACTACCTTAAAATAAGCTTACCTTATAACGTTACAACCCCTATTTAGGTTTACATTCCATACATTGCTGGTTCTGGTGTGTTGGAAACTGAAACAGAAAAAAGGTGGCCTTACTGTCGAGGCCTAAGGCCTATGGTTAAGGATGTAAGATTGTCACAAGTTTAACTGCATTTACCAGTGTGGTAGTAGTGTTGCTCTTTTCCAATTCAAGCATCTTTTCAGTAGTGATGCTATTTTATAGAGCAAGAAGCATCGCAGCCCTTAAAGGGCTACTTCATTTGTTTTCCTTCATTTGGGAAGTCTCTCAGCAAGTTAAACACCAGATCACCTTCAAGTACGAAGTGTTTTTGACACTTATTTTAGCACAATGGAATGTTTGCTTATGGAGTTAGCTATACAGAGGTGATCCACAACCAGTTCTTAAGACTAACTGGCAAAACTAGCCTGTAGGTCTTTTTAATGATCAACTATTAAGGGTAAAACAAATCATAGGGATGCACTGATTTGGAAATCCAGGGCTGACACTGATATCTGAAATCTTTTATACACATACAGCAGGACTGTGCAGTTTTAGCATCTGAGTAAATTAGAATTAAAAAGCTATTTGTCTGGGTTAGGTTTCCCGAAGGCATCTTAGCACAAAGATGATTCTTTAATGGCAGAGTGAGCATCACACTGAACACTCGGTCTACCAGTTAAGATGATCTTAACACCAAGATACTTTTGGGAAACTGTGTTCTGGTCAGTAAGCATGTATTTGTTCAGAAAAACACAAATATAATAAAAATAATATCAATACAGTAAGTAGCGGTTTTACGTATGTCAGTGTGGTTGTTTAACCACTTCCAAACCTCTCCTTGTGGTAGCCCAGTATTATTTGTAGTTATAATTTAATACCTGGCTGGTAATTAAATTTCATAAATCTATGCGATAGCTGGGGGCATCTAAGACAAATCTGGAGGCAAACATTGTCCCTCAAATTTATTGAATGAAGGAAATTGTACTTACATTTGCATTTATTTTAAGGATAGATGGTGTTTTTCTGGCAAAACACATACTGCCAAGATAAATGGTTGTAAATAATGTGCTTAGGTGTTTAAGACTGATGCCAACACATTTTTAAAATGTTAAAACTGCCTCTAGATCCTCCAGGATTAACATTATGGAAAAATGTAACATTTATTTGGAGAGGATTACACACAAAGTAAAATGAATAAAACACAGGCTTTTCTGGAACACTGTAAACACATAACATATCATTTGAATTATCATTCATATCTAAAAACCGTTCCGATGCTGTTAATGGTTGTCTGCCTATACTGATATGATTTCGATACAATCGTGCATCCCTTTTAAAATGTTTCACATTACAATTTCAAATTTGGCTCAGAGACATCAATCATGAAGTATCTTTAATGTAGCAAGCTAGTTTTGCCATGTAGCTAGCAGTGTAGCTACCTGCATTTCTCTAAATAGCTGAACTAAGCACTGGCAATAGTATGACTGATCAGCGTTCTATCATATAGTTTGTAGTTATTTTATGACAGCAGCAAAACTTCATTTCACAATAACAGACATCACAGTCAACAGCTATTGACACACATATAAACTCCAGCTTTGGTACGAAGCACTCACACACAGATTCAGACTAATCACTCAACAAATATCAAGGTGCTACAGAGAACAGCATGGGGGGAGACCGCAGTCTTGTGCAAAAGACAAATCTGACCTCACACTTCCAAAGGACTGCACGGAGGAAAAACATGTAGTCTGTTTACTCGTCCTAAACTTCTTCACATTGATGATTTTCACTTGTCTTTCCAATGAGGGAAAAAAGCATATATGCTACACCTGCAGGCGTGTTTTAGGTTGAAGTTTAGCTTAACTATCTGACTTACATAAGGTGCTAGCACACTAAGCTTACTTGTATCGGTTAAGAGGATAACCATGGCAGTACATCAGTGGCAGCAGGGTCTGATTAGAGGTATTTGAGATTCTACACCTATGCACTCAATACACTGCTGTGAATTTGCTATGAATTTTAATGTTCACAAAATAAATTCTCTTCACATTCTTTCTTTTCTCTCACTCCTTTCACCCACTATTATATGCTCTTTCTCACTCTTCCTCACACTCTTTCTCTATCTCATTCTCATCTGGGGTCCTCAAACCAGCCACATGTTCCAGCTGGCCGGAGTCAGACACGTCATAGCTGGTCTTGTACTTGGCCAGTATCTTCATTAAAGGGCGGAGCTTCAGCCACCATTGTTCCTTAGGAATCCTATGCCTGTAGAACCAACAACCAAGTATGAAACTATAGGAGCAAACAGCACCTATTCCAGTTAGAGATGGGCGATACCACTGATTTTCTTTTTGATACTGAGTAATATGAAGGCTAGTATTCTGATACCAATATACCAGTACTGATACCAGTACTAATACTTATAGAAGGTAAGCACATAAAAAAGGGAAATATTTGGATTTCTATAGTGATAAAAATATATGTAAGTGTTGGTCTTAAGTAAACTGTTCAATCTAAGTCCGTATGTGTCTTTTCACTGACTTGGAGAACTGAGCTTGTCAAGAAATGCAGGGTGTTTCAAAAATTTGAGTGTTAAGTGACTAAAATAGCCTAATGTTAGGCCTTCTTCTATATATCCTAATAATGACTGAAAGTGTTCATTTGCTGCAATCTTTTTTCACCATCAAATACACATTTAATTTATTAAAACAAAAATATTAATTACTGACTACATAAAATACTTCAAGAATCAGTACTTCACTATCAATTTGTTCATCTCTAAATCCAGTTAATAAACTTACTTCAGTAAGTCTTAAACTAACTTATAAGTTACACATCTACTACACCATATCTGAATCATTTTTAAATATATAATTTAAACATTTCATATGAGCTCAAAGTGTCAACTTTCAGCTGTGAGTATTTAAAAATTTGAAGGTATTAACACCCAAATGGGGTGAATGATGTAGGAATTACAACCAATTTAATACACAACCCCATTTTTAATTTCAAAAATAACTGGACAACCTACATAATTATTAATAAAATTCTCATTTCTAATACTAGGCAGTCACTGACTGTCTGAAGTCTGGAACCCATGAACATTACACTTCTGTTTGTTAAAAATGCCTTGGGTCGTTTCTCAGTAAATTTTGGGTCATTGAGCATCTGCACTGTAAAGCACCATCTAATGGGTTTTGAAGCATTTGGCTGAATCTGAGCAGTTGATATAACCCTATCCTCTTCAGAATTCAACATGTTGCTTTTGTCACCAGTCACATTACCAGTAAATACAAGAAAACAAATTCTATTGGCAGCCATACATGCCCATGCACTAACACTACCTCCACCATACTTGACAGATAAGGTGGTATGCTTTGGATCATGAGCGGTTCCTTCTCTTCTGTACCATACACAGATGTGTTTCACAAACATCTCATTTTCCTGTTTTGAGGCTTAGCAATTGTTTACATCTTGTGGTAAACCCTCTGTATTTACTTTGGTGAAGGCTTCTCTTGATTGTTGACTTTGACACAGATATGCCTACCTCCTGGAGGGTGTTCTTGATCTGGTCAACTGCTGTGAAGGAGTTTTTCTGCACCAGGTAAAGAGTTCTTCAGTCATCCACCACAGTTGTTTTCCATGGTCTTCTGGGCCTTTGGGTGTTTTTGAGCTCTCCAGTGCATTATTTATTTTTTAAAAATGAACCAAATACTTGATTTGGCCACATCTGACATTTTTGCCTCTCTGATGAGTTTTGCAGCCAAATGATGGTTTGCTTCACTGACCGCTCTTTGGACTTGAAATTTACAGTTAAAAGCAACAAGTTCTAAATGCAGATGCCACACTTAAAATCAACAACAGACCTTAAGGGAATAACACACACCTGCCCAAGGTACAAGTGGCTGTCCAATTACTTTTGAGGCTCTAAAAATGTGCGGCTCTGTATGAAAATAGTTGTAATTCAAATAAAGCTAAAAGCCTGCACTTTGAACACGCATTCATTATTTAATGTAAACTCCAATATACTACGGCACAGAGCTAAAATGACAATAACTTTGATGATGTCTAAATATTTGTGGACCTGCCTGTATACAGTAGGTCTTTATGATAAAATGGCCACTGAGGATAGATACAAAGGAATTGTATGTAAGTTAAATATGTTATGATTGCAATTTTCTACCAATCCCTAAGGCAGTCAGGCAACTTGTGTGTGTTTGTGGTTTCTTACTCAAAGTCTGTCTCTTCTTTCAGCTGTGTCACAGGCTGGAAGACCAAAGCTCTACGGCGCATCCCCAATAAACACGCAGAGTCCTCAGTGTTGGCAAACACACGACCTACATACACATGTATGATTACACACATTTATCCTATAGAACTCTGCTCAAGATAAGATTAATACACAAGATAAAAAGTCTACACAAAAACACACATGGAACTAATACAACTCAAAAATCTACACAAATACCCACCCAGTATAAATGTAACTATGCTTATTTCAACAAACAGCAATACTCCTGTATTCTAAGACAAAGGGATTTACCTTCTTCTAAAATCCACGACAGAACATGTCAGAAAAAGAAAAGCAAAAAGGACATTAAGTTATACAATAGCTGTTCAGGAGAAAGTTTTGTTTATTTTCTTAAGCACTGTTTTGGTGAAATCAATCCTTTAAAATTATGTGAGTCAATGTGATCATGCATTACTGGCACTTTCATTCGCTGTTTTAAGAAACTTGATTCAACAAGTTCTCAACTGTTGTGACTGAGCTTCAAATGAGCTGAAGGACACTTTATATTATGCAACTCAATTGTAATTTAGTTTCATGTAGTTTCCAAACAAAGGGATTTGGGATGTGTTTAACCCAAGCTGTTATTTCTGATGACAGCACCTTTTATCACAATGACTGCATCATTAAACTAAGCACCGGCTGCTAAATAATGATGGCTTTACGGTGCAGCTAACCATTACTAAGTGTCTCCCATGGCATATACAAAAACAGAAAATGGTTACATTAGATAACTTCTACATGATAATATTTGACCTGAAGGACTACACTAAATTCGGAACCTGCCGTTGCCCCTAAACAAGCTTTTCAGTCAGGAGATGTGACGGTGGAACACCTGAGAAGACCGGAATTAGCCAGAAATGAACAGTATACAATACAGCAAATAAGACGGGCTGTGAGATTTACAGACTAGCTGGAACATTCAGGTTAATCTGGCAATTATTGAAAAGCTGAACTTGATATTGTGACATCTGTAATGCAAAAGCTGACTACTTTTTGAAGAACCAATTGCCAATATTAAAGCACCTTTGATACAATGCTTGTGGCTTTACTGTTTGATTAAACTGCTGTATAAAAGCAATATATCACAAAGAACACTCTCTCTCTCTCATGTTCTTTTGCTTAAATGTTAAGCCTACAACTTACATTAACTTGACAAACTCCAGTCAAAGCCAGCCAAGACAATTCAAGTAGGTTGCAGTTGTCAAGAAGTATTGCAAAAGCAAAATTAAGAATCATTAAGCTGATAACACTACCTGGGTAACGCAACCTTCAAACACAGTTGAAATAAAACACATCATAATAATTTCTTAAATATAATATTAGTGATGGTCAGTGTGTGTGTGTGTGTACCCTCAATGTAGAATTCCTTCAGCTTTTTGGAGATCCACTGCATAGCCTTAGCTGCAATCTTCGTGCCAAAATTCCTGTCAAACGGAGATGGAGCTCCTCCCTGAAACCGTATTTACCAGGTTTGTAAATGAAGCATGACTAAACTATTAACACACCCACATATGTATATGTATACACACTGATGAGCCAAACCATTATGACCACTTATATATGAAGCGAATAACGTTATCTTGTGGTGAGTACCTACCTTCAGTGGTCTGAGGAGGGACAAACCATGAACCAGTGATGGGGTGTTGCATGCACAAGGCTCATTGATGTGCAAAGGCAATAAAGGCTATCCCGTCTGTCTCAAACTGAGAGAAGGGCTACTGTGCTGTTAATCGCATTCAATTTTAATGATGGTTCTGGGAGGAATGTGTCACAGCACACAGTGCATTGCACCCCGCTGTATGGGGCTGCGATCAGAGTGCCCATGCTAACTCCTGTCCACCTAAACCTGTCCATGAAAATGTCTACAATGGACACATGAGCACTGAAACTGGATCTTGGAGCAATGGAAGAAGGTTGCCTGGTCTAATGAGTCCCATTTTCTTTTACATCAAGTGGACAGCTGGTACATGTGCACAGTTTATTTGGGGATAAATTTGATGGCACTAGGATGCACTGTGGGAAGAAGACAACTCTTCGAGAACTCTTTGATTGTTCCGTCTGAAGATGCAAGAAGTCTTGGTGTGATTCTGGATGGCCAGTTACCGTTCTCAGCTCACATCGCGAACCTAACTCGGTCATGCAGGTTTCTCCTGTACAACATCCGGAGGATTCGACCCTTTCTCATTCGAGAGACCACCCGTTCTAGTTCAGTCTCTTGTCATCTCAAGGCTTGACTACTGCAACTCGCTCTTGGCTGGTCTTCCTATGCAGGCAATCAAGTCTCTGCAACTCAACCAGAATGCAGCAGCACAGCTCGTCTTAAATCTTCCTAAGTTCAGTCACTCCACTGCTGCGCTCCCTTCACTGGTTTCCTGTAGCTGCACGCTTCAGATTTAAAACCATGATGCTTGCCTACAAAGCCAAAAACAGACCAGCCCCTCCCTACCATAATGGCAATGGTCAAAACTCTAACTGTACCTTGAGCCCTGCGAGCTTCAAGTACAGCTCGGCTTGACCCGCCATCCTTCAAGATGCGTGGAAGACAAGCATCAAGACTTTTTTCTGTCCTGGCACCCAGGTGGTGGAACCCACTGGCTGTCCGAACAGCAGACTCTCTTGCGGTCATCAAACACAGACTGAAAACACATCTCTTTTTACAGCACTTAAGTGAGCACTGAGTTAAGTTTTTATTGTAATGTATTGTACTGCATTTATTGAAATTTATTGCACTGCGCTGTGTTTAATTCAGTTCCTTTTTCTCTAGGTATCAATACGGGCTTTTGTTTCTAGCAATATCTGAGCTCAGCACTAGCTTTCTCTCTAACCTATTTGTAGCTAGCAAAGATACTTTCTCCAGGCAGACAACAAAGCACTTTTTGTAAGTTGCTCTGGATAAGATTGTCTGCTAAATGCTGTAAATGTAAATGTGAATGTAAAAGCGGTGGAGGGAGTGTGATGCTCTGGACAATGTTCTGTGAGAAAACTGTGGGTCCCGGCACTCATGCTGATGTCAATTTGACACATGCCACCTACCTAAACATTGTTGTGGATCAGGCAAACCACCTTCATGGTAATGCTATCCCTTAATGTCAGTGGTCTCTTTCAGCAGGATAATGTGACCTGCCACACAGCATACACTGTCCAGGAATGGTTTGACAAACATGTTGGAGAGTTTAAGGTGTTGTCCTGGCCTCCAAATTCCCCACATCTCAATATGATGTGCTGGAACAAGAAGTCCGATCTGTGGCAACTCCACCTTACAGAATTTACAGGATCTGCTACTAACGTCTTGGTTCCAGATACCACAGAGCACCTTCAAAGGTCTTGTTGAGTCCATACTTTGGCAGGTCAGAGCTGTTTTAGTGGCACGTGGAGAACCAAGAGCATATAGGCAGGTGGTCATAATGTTTTAGCCCATCACTGTGTATATATGGTGTATGGCACACATTTTTAGTATATACACTTTTTTCTTATAACTTTATCATTGTGGCACACCTAATATTTACCATCATATTTAGCAAGACTACATTACATAAATACTACCAGGAATAGTTACTAACCTTCACTAACCTATCCTATGACTAGCCATAATATGACCACTCGGGCCTGGTAGGTGTATGTAAAGAATTTTACAGTAAAATATGCTTTCATACTGCTCTGGATTTTTATGCATCCAACAACTATAAAGCATCCCTAAAAAGTGTCTATATGTGCTATTCATTTGAATGAATTAGGTGTGTGTGTGTGTGTGTGTGTGCTCATGAGGTTCTATGAAAGAGTAAATGATGTATGTGTGAAGGTGAGTGCTTGCATAAGTGCCTGCCTAAGTGTGTGTGTGTGAGAGAGAGAGAGTGTACCTGCTGCATATGTCCCAGGACATTCTTCCTGCAGTCAAACACTCCTTTGCCCTCTTCTGAGTACAGCTGGTAGATAAAGTCTGTAGTGAAGTTCTCATTGCTGTTCTCGTTCCTGCAAAGAGAACACACACACACACACACACACACACATACACTCACATTAATACATGCCCACATACATTTAATAGTTTATTCAGTAGCTGATACATATCCATACACACACATTCAGTTTTTGATTTTTGATTTCTTTTAAAGTGAAATCGAAAGATTTAGATTTATCATTCATCAGTTTAATTTTTAAATAAAAACATTATGAAAAAAATGCTGCCCCACGTTTTCATATCACTACCAAAACACAAAGAGTTTTAGTCTATAGGTGGAGCCTCATTTAAGCTACACCGCTGCATTTTAGAGCAGGAAGTGAGACTGCATCTCTCTCACTCATGGCCACATGTTAAGCAGTTAGATCCCACTATTTTTAAGTAAATAGGTCCCAAAATCTGAAAATCAGTGTATAACATTAGAAATTGTCACTACTGAAACACATATTTTCTGCAATTAAGTAAACATTTTTGATTTAATGAAAAACATTATGATGAAATGAGTACAACTGTTCAAAGCTGTGTTCACTAGTCATGTACTTAATAGCTTTTTTGAGTTATGCTAAAAATTAGCTAAACATATTACCAAAACATTTGGTAAAGTTTCAGAGGCATTATTGTATTGGTAGTTACAAAATGGAATGTTCAATCATTTATTTTTATAATATAAACATAATTAAGGTATGGGGTCATTCAAAGCAAAAGAATTTTAGTCTAAAGTCCAAGTCAGTTAAAAGTCTGAAAAGACTTTTGAACTCTGACTTTGAACTGCTTCACACTTAAACTAACCATAAACCAACATAATAGTCACCAAGTTAATAATATCACTACTGACCAACATAAAAACACAAAAGCTACCGCTTTATCACAAGATCTAATAAAGAAACATTCCGCAGGGTGAACTGTGTGCGTGCGTGTGTATGTGTGAGGTACCTGAGTACTAGTCCTCTCTGGATGCTGGTCTTCATCTTCTCTGTTAAATGCTCTACATTGGTCTGGAAAATGCAGTTATTAAAAACTCACATTAACGTCACTGCCCCCCACAACCACACACTCTCCATCCATCTCTCTCTCTTTCCCCTCTCTCTTTTTCTCCCTCTCTCCTTTTCTCTCTCTCTCTCTCTCTCGCTCTCTCTCACTCACTTTCTCCTCTCTCTCTCTCTATCTCTGCTGTAAACTCCTGAAATAGTCCACAGGGCTAAATATAACACACTAAGTTTGGAGCAGGAGAAGGAGAAAGAAAAAAAATAGGGTCCAGGACAATGCTATTATTTAATCCAAAAGCAGGGGGCGCTATTACTCCTAAGCGACTCTCATGCCATCACCATAACAAAATTAATTTTTTAAGTGTTTATCCTATCTAAACTGGAACACAGACTTAATATGTATTTGCTGTAGGACTCATGTAGGTGAGAGATTTGTGTGAGTTGATAGATCATATTTGTGTGTGTGTGTGTAGTAGTTCCTCTATTTTCAACACTCCCGTCACAACAATAACATCACTAATCACAGATTAACTGCTTGGAATAATCATACTGCTGTGTGTGTGCCTATGTTTCTGAGTGTATCTAGGTCATCCCCTCATCCTAATATAGACACACTGTGTTTTGAGACCAGGTGATGGACGAGTCACCTGTCCAAACACAGGAAGCAAGACAGAGATGAGAGAGACCCTGCATGATCATGCAGAGTTTTCAACTGACCTGGTGGAACAGTATTTATCTCTGCATTCCAACTAGAACTTGAAGTATTTGTTAGATCCATACAGGTGCTCATGTCGGGTTCAGTGGGGTTCTCACAGCCCACCTCCCACTTTTAACAAATTTTAGGCTTAATTTTCCCCAGCATTTTTCTCATTTTATTCTGTACTACTTTAACTACCTTAAATCATTTTTTTAATCTGGCACGCTAGAGTCACACCATCAGGACCGAGGTACATGGGGGCCCACACTCATGTGAAAACAGGACATGATTATTCAGTAACAACAGGGACTTCAATGCAAACTAATAGAGCTTTTCTTAGGTTATAGAAGTGTGTAATAAAACTTGTTAAGGGGTTAATCTGTCTGTTTGGCCAAAAATATTCTGTTCATTTTCATGTTCTAGTTCTGCACATGTTCTATTTGCAGAAGTAGAATTTTACTAAACAGGTAAATGCTGACATCTCACTATATCAGCACAGCACAGCGTGAGAACAGTGCAGTAAGGGAAGATGTAAATAGTGTTTGTGATGCCGTTAAAAAGTATTATTTGATGAATAAATTTGTTAAAGCAGAATTTAAACATATTTTTTGGACAGCATATTATTTTATATTGTTTTGTATTTTATTTTCTGTGTTTTAATGATACTGTTGTTACTACACAGTAACTGGTGCTGTCCTGTCAGCTTTTTTTCAGCACTTTGGATGATGATTAGCTGGTCCTGGTCAGTTTCAGACTCAAAGCATGATACTGTGGTTCCATTCAGGCAGAATTTTGTCAGGCTCGGGTCAGGATTGGACTGAAAAATTTCAGGCCCGATTAAAGCTCTAGTTTCAAACAGGGGTGGGAAACATAACATTTTAACCTGACAATTTTTGTTATTGCGATGCTCTTAAAGATCACTTTTGTTATTGTGGAGATCTTAAAGATCACTAATCACTTGAATGCTTGATTACAAAGAAAGCATCATTATTGCTGTTTAATTGTATTTAATGCAGCACAGTATGTAAAATATTAAATAATAATGTGTCAAAATATTGTGATACGTATCGTGAAAATTTCTTTAAGTATCGTAATATACTATTTTTGTCATATCGGCCACACCTAGTTGCAATTCAATTTAATTTTATCCGTATGCTTGTTTTAACAACAGATATTATCCTAAAGCAGCTTTCCTGGAATTCCAAGATGAGTGCTACAGTGAGGTTCAGGCACAGCAGTGTTGCTGGAGTTTTTAAACCCTGTGTACAACTACTTACCACTTTATTAAAACACCTAGGTTGTTGGTCCACCTTGTAGATGCAAACACACAATATTTTTGTTGACACCCAGCCGTGACACTATGCCTGATTCACTCATACTAATGCAATGCAATACTACATGTTACTAATACGCTGGTATAACAGCTATGCTCAGAATCGTACCTCACCCAAATAATATCTAACCACCTGTGGCCCTTTGGAGGTCCCTTTTCATTGATAGACAGGGTAGAGGGTGTCTGAGAAATTATGCAGCAACAAATGAGCTACAGTCATAATCATAAACCCACATGGTAGGTGTTTCTGATAAAATGTCCAATGGTTCTAAATACAATTTGGGAGTTTGAAATACTCATAACTCAGTGTATGAAGGATAAACGATAGCAGCTTCAGGTTTAGAATAAGAACTGTGATTCAATGCCCTTATTTATTGTTGTTGCTAGTTATGTAACCATTAATTAACTAAATAGCTAAAAAAAAGTTATCAACAAGTAGTCATGCACTGGGCCCTCCAAAAACATTGGCACCCCTGGTAAACATGTGAGAAAACATTCTTTATTGCTTAACCTTTTGATCTTTCATTCAAAATATTTTCAAAAATCTAACCTTTTTTCCTGGCTGAGGCAGTCAGGTTTTGATTTTATTTCTGCTTGTACTTGACTACATGGTCTGTGATGCCATGTATCTGAATAAATAGTCCAGGGCCTTTGAAAAGCAAAGAGCTCCACAACATCGCAGATCCACCACCATGCTTCAATGTGGGGATGGGGTACTTTTCTGCATGGCTATCTTTGTGTCTACACCAAACTCACCTCTGGTGACCATAGAACACGGGGGTCACTTTTTCTCACAGTGATAGATGACTGAAGGAATTTGGCATATGTCTTGTCTCATACATATTCCCCAGCGAATCAAGAAGTCATGGCTGACCATTTCAGTGTTCCTAATCACTCAGATGAACTTAAAAACATAAATGTGATTAGATATCAAAATATTCAGTTACATTTCACTCTTAAGAATTTGTAGGGGTGCCAATAATTATTATATTTATAATTATTATATTTATTTCATGACAATTTTTTGCTTTCAACCAGTTTACTTTAAACAAAGGTTAGACTTTTGCTACTATTTTGAAAGAAAGATTAAAAAAGAATAAGTAATTAAGAATACATACATACATATTAAATATATGTGTATGTCGTTGACGTCACCTGCAGGTCTCTGATGCTGAAGGATTCTTCGTAGATGTAGGCAGCATCGGCTCCAGCAGCCAACGCACCTACCGTTGCCAGGTAACCACAGTAGCCACCCATGGTTTCAATGATGAAAACACGCCTCTTGGTACCACTCGCAGACTGCTTTATACGATCACATGTCTGCCTCACACACACACACACACACACAGACACACACACAGAAATGTTTTGAAAGGTTCACAAACACACATTATCATACACAAACTTAAGTGTCTTAATGGTGCAAATACAAATACATTATCTTTCTCTCATCCACACATACTTACAAATAGTGCTGACATTTATAAGGAAAACAGAACAACATTCAGTACAAGACACACTGAGCACATGCTAAACCAGCGCATGCTAAACACAACGATCACTGTCAGAAAGATATTACAGTACAAAACCCATACAAACACACACAGAGCAGAAACCACTGCAAACAACTTAAATAACCCAAAACAATGGAGGACAGGCAAGCAGCATGTGTGTGTGTGTTTACTCTGCTTTACACTTTAATCTCATTTGGGGATCAAAAATGATAGGAAAACATGACTATTCTCATGCAATTACAATAGGGCTGCACAATTCTTAAATGGAAATCAAGATTTTTTTATTTAGTATTGAGATCATGTTTCTTACTTATTATTGTTCAACATGCACATTTTGTAAAGAAGAGTTAGTATATTTACTAAACACATACATTTATGGAGCCTAACATAAGTGTTCTGCGAGTGGTGAACACTTTAAAAACACTTTAAAAAAATACTTTTACCACATATCTTAAATGTGTAGTTTTCTCAGCACTGTAGCCCTCTCAGGAGCATTGTGGTTGCAAACACAGAATAAGTTTATACCGAACTTTTTTCACTTTACAACATCTTCATCAGACATCATTTGCTTCACCGGCAGCAGCTAAGCTAATCAGTTAGAATGTTTTTGAAACCTTTACAACCTGACCAATGGCCAGGTCAAGCTCCGAAACACGTCAATCTAAGTTTAGTCCTTGGATTTACTTGTTTCTGGACTTCATCTGACAAAGAGGGAACGAAAATGTATTCCCAATTAGAAAGATGAGTCTGACTGAGTGAGCGATGACAAAGAACAAGGGATGTTTTGCATCACCTGATGTACCACTCCAACGTGGCTGACAAACTGAAGTAGCTAGCTGCCAACGTAACCATCAAATTACCTTGCACACACAATATAGGTGTGTTTTTGGACAACCTTATTTTTACAAAGTAGAACTCTTTCCTTTAACTAATTGCCATTTACGGCATGAGTGCGTTTACATGCACTTAATAATCTGATAACTGCAGAAAATCAGACTTTGTCAGTAATCCGATAAACGAGTTTACATGCACTTAAGTAATTAGATAATGGGGAAACTCTGGGTTTACATGAGTCAAACAGTAATCAGATTTCTGATTTGCAATGTCAATAAACTCACAGAAGAAGATGTGATGAAAATGTAAAGTAAAATTCAAACTTCATGGAGTGGCTTTTATTTTTAAACATTGTGCCACTTTACCTGAAAATATAAACACATACCATCTATAAGATGAAGAATATTTAAATCCTAGATTTTGTCAAGCCTAGTTGATTTCAGTGTCCTTCAAAAGTGTTTTGCTGCCACCTTACAGGTACTGTGCTAAACGCTGCTTCCTTATTTCCAGTACCACGGCCTATTTTCACACATGCGCAGACAGAGAAATCTGAAAGAAATCTGAGTACGAGTTTACATGCACTGAGAAATCCGATTACTGAGCTAAAATCCAGCTCTCTTTATCCGATTTCTTAATCGGATTTCTAGACCTTACTCTGATCTAAAAAATCAGAGTATTCTGTTTACATGACCATTTGAATGATCAGATAACTGCAGAAATCAGATTATGACCGTGCATGTAAACGCACTCAGTGTTATCCCTCCTGCTGGTCCTTTGGCAGTAGCTGAATATACCTCAGTGAGAAGAGAGAGTGAAGAAATACAGAATAATACAAAATAACATTTTTCTAATCAAGCTAATGTTGGCAAATCGCTGTCATTTCCAACCTACCTAGTTCCAGTTAGCTACAACAACATCACAATGCTGGAAGCCCAATAAGTAGCTTGCATGGAGACTCTATACAAACTTTGCTACAGTTTCTCACCATTTTGAATGGGATTTTTAGCCTCATACTTAGCTTACGTGATGTCAGTGAACTCTTTAGTAATTATTCTATAATATCAACTGACATACATACATGCTTGGTGACTTAATCCCATTCTGGAAGAGTAAAGAATTTGCCAAACTGCAGAGAACAGAGGAAAACACCCTGAAGTACCATTAGGTGTTGCTGGTACCAATGTTGAGCAGGTACCAAAAACCAAGCTGGAACATTCAAGACTGGACTGCTGGCTAATGGAAAAAAAAGCACAATTCCAGTTTTCTGGTGCCAATGGTCCTGATACTTCGTGGACTAGAAAAAACCTAAAATGACGTTGCATCATTACTGTTCTTTGTTTGAACAAGGAAAACACACAGTGATTGTGCTTAATTGACTTAATGTAATCATTTTGTATATTCGTGCACTCGTATACAAATATTTGTGCATTTTGTAAAATGCTTGTGAATTATTTACATAAAATATTTATATATACATATTTGTATTATTACATTTTGTTTTATCACATACCAGCTTATTTGTCATTGTCACATACTTGCTTATAAGTTTTTGAGACAGAGTAAAAAAAAAAGGTGAAGTATCCTCTACTCTTGACCTACATCTCCTACTTCTATAGTCTCCACCAACTCTAGATGGCAGTGCATCTTACCTCCACTATGGCATTGAGGGAAGTGTCTGTTCCAACGCTGATGTCTGTGCCAGGGATGTTGTTACTAATTGTGGCAGGCAGGACGCACATGGGCACACAGAACTCCCTATGTGTGGAGCGAGCCTCCACCAACTGCAGCAAACACTCAAAAGCCTACAGCAGTGGTTGTGTAAATGAGTAAGGACAGAGAACCACTTGGGACAACCACTCACAGATACAGGATTTATTGTACTTGAGTCTGAGTTAGACCTAGTACTTAGTCTGACACCTACACATATGTTGGCCAACATAATATAGCATTATACAAGGAAAACAGGGAAGAGTTTAGTGATAGTGGTGTTTGTTTGTCATTCGTACTGTATTGTTACTCATAGCTTCTGGGGCAAGATCCATGATAGATGAGCATCTTTCTTCTAACACTAGAGGGTGCTGCTGTGTGTACCACAGAGACAATTAGCATTAACGTGGCCAAAGACAGTGTTTCTCAACCCTTGTCCATGTACATTTTAGTGCTTTTCCTGCTGTACCACATCCACTTTAACTCAATAATGGGCTGTTAATGAACTGATTAGTTGGACCAGGTGTGTTGGGAGAAGAAAACACTAAAAAGTGGGCCTCCAGGGCCATGATTGAGAAACACTGGCCTAACAGGTTGGAGGAGGTGGGTATTTGGTGGGCTGAAGCGAAAGTGGGAGGGCTGGGGAGAGACTGGCCATCTTAACACACACCCGCGCAACAATACACTGCACAAAAGGCCACTAATTATGTCTGAGCACACACACAATCACATGCAAAAAGACTCACTCTTTTGATCTAGCTCAAAACTGTAAACTATTGGTCATGCAGCAATGCACGAGTGTACTGGTGTATATAAGCAGGTATACAGTGTATACGCACCTCTGGGGAGACTGATTTACTGTACCCACTAGACATGAGCCAGTATTCTGTAATTTGGTATTTATTAAACACACAGTAACATTATTATGGACAGTTTAAACTGCCACCACTATCACTGTCACTTGTTTTTAATCAAATAAATTACAGCTTTATTACAGGTTTTTAGATAAAATCAGCTTTGATTTCAGCAGCTCCCATTGCACTGGCATGCTCTTATCACATCACAGTCCCTCTTATGAGAGGATCAGAGACGCATGCCAGAGGGAGGAGAGATCCCAGAACTGTTTCCTATCAGAAAAGGTCAAAACTCATGCCTCACCTTGGAGTAGGAAAAAATGTAAGATCTCACAAATGTATGTTTGTAGTTGCAAATTTCAAAAAAGAGGCTAATCCAGTAATATTCAGTTAGGCGTTGCATTAAATGTTTACTTAAATACTCACTTTAACACTGAAACATAAAAAGTAAACATATGTTACTTGAATGTCTATGTAAGACTGGAGGTGTGTAAACATTAACTTGATGCTACTTTAACAAGGGAAAAGCCCTTGTTAAAGCCCTTGAAATTAGTGTTATCATGGCACAGAGACTACTTATAAGCTACAGACTTCCATATTAAGCATTTTTAAATCATGATATGATGGACATTTATGATTATATGATCATATATTGTGTCAAGGTATAATTGATATGAAGCACCAGCCTGTAGTACCTCAAAAATAGAAGAAAGCACCCTTCTTAAGAGTCCAGAATGTTCAATAGACTCAGCCATTTCAGCTAACACAAGGTTGTTTTCGCTCCATTTACTGGAGTGCCAGTAGCTCCCCTTTGTGGACAATCTTGTTAAAAGTGAGTGAGTGAGTGAGTGAGTGAGTTCTAAGCGAGGTCTATGAGGTGCTTTGCATCTAGAAGTGAAAGTTTAAGAAATATGTCCCAAGCTCTATGGTTCATTTAATTGTTGTCATCTCTGATAAAGCTTGATAATATAATGCTAGCTACATTGCAACTAACTATGCATGAAATTAAATTATATTAATTACTGCTGAAATTATATCCACATAAAAAAGTATATCTATAGTTATAGTTTACTGTTAAATAGTATTAAAATGAATTCTATAAATGTGTAATGAATTAGGTTGGTCAATTAATGAAAGCCAATATGCATTGCAAACTTTCAGTAAGAATTCTACTACTGAGGAAATGTAGAAATGTAACACATGAAATGTCAAACTTCACAAAATTGTGAAATTTCTGTAATGTAAGATAGTATCATGAATCGCTGACAGTCTTTGTTTTTTTCTATGTATTGTCCATGTTGATCAGTGTAAATATGTTGACAGGCTTTAACACAGTCTGTAACAGAGCAAAGCAGCACTTCTTATTTTTAAACTGCTTTTTGAACAGGTAAAGTCATACTGTAGCCATCCACAAACAGAAAGCCTTCTCTTGCCAAACATAAAAGAGAGGGTATGATTTTGACACAAAATGTAAAGAAATATGCTAATAATGATAGGTTACAATAACAGTAAAGGAAAGGTACTATAGCAGTAGCCTATACAGAAAGCTTTAGCTGTTTTATCACTTGAACGAGAAGGCTGTAAACATGCAATTTATTAAACCTATAGCAAAAACTACCAAACCACACCAATGACTGTCAAACCAAAAGTAAGAACAAAGTTAACTTATGTGTCTGAGCTGACATTTAAGTGTGTTTGTTTTCACTGCAGTGTTCTCTGAGGTGATGCTACCACATAACCTTGCCGCCCTAAAACGTATTACCTGAGAAAGGAGTCATAAATATTGATTAAGAGGATCTGCAATCTGTAAGAAAGCCTGTAGTTTGTACTCGCTGAACACTAAAAATGCACTCAAACGTGGTGGCACAGGAAAGTGGAGTGGCACAGCGGCTTTTTTTGTTGATTGATGCATTTAGATTTTTTTTGAAAAGTGGCTCTCGCTGGCCCGTTGTACTATCGACAATTGGCGAAAGCTAAAGGGCTTGATCAGCCAAAACTTCACACAATCTCATGAGCCTAAGTTAAAATAAATACTAATCTTACTGTTTCAGAAAGGATCTTAGCACAAAACTGATACTGTTTATCGTATCGCACACACACACACTGAGATTCTAAGACTGTAGTTACCTGAACAACAAAACACACTGATCAACAACCACATTTTGCCAAACAGCTTTAGAATGGGTCCACACATTCAAAGCAGGAATACTCAAAACTTTACAGACTGTAGTCCATCTGTTTCTCTGCATACTTTGTTAGCCCCCTTTTACCCTGTTCTTCAGGGGTCAGGACCTCCATGGACGTTCACAGAGCAGGTATGTAAAGTCAGAGACGATAGCTCATCTGGTGCTGCACAGTTTGTGTTGGTCATCCTCTAGTCCTTCATCAGTGGTCACAGGGCGCTGCCCACAGGACGCTGTTGGCTGGATATTTTTGGTTGGTGGACTATTCTAAGTCCAGCAGTGACACTGAGGTGTTTAAAAACTCCAGTAGCACTGCTGTGTCTGATCCACTCAGACCAGCGCAACACACACTAACACATCACCACCACGTCAGTGTTACTGCAGTGCTGAGAATGATCCACCACCCAAATAGTATCTGCTCTGTGAGGGTCCATGGGGGTCCTGACCACTGAAGAACAGGGTAAAAGGGGGCTAACAAAGTATGCTTAGAAACAGATGGACTACAGTCTGTAATTGTAGAACTACAAAGTGCACCTATATAGTAAGTGGAGCTGATAAAATGGACAATGAGTGTAGAAACAAGGAGGTGGTAATTAAGTCAAAAACTGAAATACATGCATATATATATATATATATATATATATATATATATATATATATATATATATATATCACCCACCCCTAGTGGTCAGTCCTCTGTATATAATTCAGATGTGCTGTTTGGCTGGTGATGAGGTTGGTGAACATTGTCAGTGTACACATAACGAACATGCGAACAGACTCTCTTCTCACAAGCATGCGCATTCACATTCTGGCACGAGTGTGTGCTATCTTACGTTGGTGATGGCATTGAGGGCAGTGTCTGCCCCGATGCTCAGGTCCGAGCCAGGGATGTTGTTGGAGACGGTGGAGGGAACCATTACCATGGGAACGCAAAGCTCAGGGTGTTTGGAACGAGCAGCTAGCAGCTCCAGCAGACCCAGATACGCCTGCAGTCAGAGCAAGGGCTTATGGGTGAGGGCTTAGCATTACAGGTAATAAAATGGGAGCAGGGAGTTACACCTGTTTTGACAATGAGGATAAAGGAGACCAGAAATAGGGGGAAGGAATGGGAGAGGAAAAACAAGCAGGAGGTGTGGTCTATTGGTATTGGGCCTGTTGATTGGTTGATGATGACTTCTAGGTCATTCACAGGATAATGGCTGGGAATAAAACACACCACTCACTGTGAGTGCATTGAATATGAGTGTAATTAAATACATCCAAGGAGTAGTAACTGGTGAGCCACAGTGCCGCAATTTCCGACTTGCATTTTCAGCTCCCTTACGAGTTGGGCAGAATACTTTGTAAAGCAGTCATTTTTACTTAATGCACACTGTTCCTAGCAGAAAACTGGTTGGAAGTTTTCCTTATGTAATTATTCTTTTAATATATTTCATAGAAAATTTGCAATCAATTAAATGTTCCAAAATTCTCAATCTTTTTCTTTTCGCCTGCTTCAGTCCAGTGTGGCTCTCACAGTCCCTCAAGTGATGCTAAGCTTATCACTTGTGAACATGTCCACTTTTAGTTACAGCATTGAACATTACAAAAGTACAATTTTAGACACTTTAGAATGGCACTGTGGAGTTTATTTAGATCCATTTAGGGTGGCAAGAGTTGAAACATGTCTGCCATGAAATAAAAAGATTTAAGCAGCTATAATCTTTTGCTTAGTTTATTGTTGAGTGTTAGCCTCTGTGTTCTATGACACATTGAAAATCAACCAAACAATAATAAGTCAGGTAAAATCCCTTGTAGCTATGTAGCCTCTTGACTCCTATGTGACATCATATTTGAAGCTGAGAATGCAGGTCTGAGAAGTGAGAGTGTGGTGCAGATCTACAGACAGACCCTTCTCAGTCCAACTGCTAGTGCTAGTATATTTTTGGTTTGTGTTTTTTTAATTAATATTAATTGTAATTATGTACTTATTGGTCAAATGTATAAATTTTTAAAACTAAAAAATGTCAATGAATGTCAAAATAGTGATACAATAAGACTTCCCCTTCAACTCTAGGTTAATTAGTTAATTCTGCTATTATTCAGAAACCACTATGGATTATTTAGTAGCTACTATAAAACTGACATGTAAATAATGCAGCTACAAAAGTGAGGCACATAATTATTGGAGCCCATGTTCAGACCCTTAGGGCTTAAGGGGTTAAAAGAACCTGTTCAATGGCATGAAAGACTAAGAAAAAGTTGCAAAAAGCTGCACTGTATTTGTTCTACAGCATTAGTTTCATATATACTTATGCTGAAATTACACTCGCACAAGAAAAGTCCTTAACAATACTATAATACTACTGTATGATTAATCCTTTTTCTGTTGGATCGACTTACCTCAAATCCTCCAATGACGAGTAAAGCACTGATGTTATGAATTCTCATCTGTTCAGCAATTTTATTCAAATGCTTAGCTGGAAGAGTTCTGAAAACAGATAAAAAAAACATGTAAACATTAAGTCAAGCTTATTTTTTAACTGATTTTTATTTTTGAACATTTTCATTAATGAATAAATGGTTTTATTATTTGCATGCATGTGTGGGTGGCTGTTGCCTATTGTGTATGAGCATTAATACTTCACCGTTTTGTCCCTAGTAGGGACCCACCCTGACCGGTCCAGCCTCCGACATCCCCCCATTTGATCTCCTTTATCTAAGAGAGACAGATCGCAAAACATATCCTCACTGTCACAAAATGGCAACTTTAAAGAGATGTAAAGAGATTTTATTCCAAGCAATTTTGGAGCATTTTTATTGGTCTTCATGAAATTTGCACTTTATTTTCATGCAAGATTGAGAAGAATCAGTTTGCTCATGTTAAGTCTGTTTCCGGTGTTATTGAATGACCACGTCTGGTATCTGACCATGACACGGTCACCAACTGGCCACTTTATTAATACCAGCCACCTTGTTTATCAGCTTAACCTTCCATAAAAGTTTCTCTAGGTAATTTGTAACTTGTATAATTTAAACTCTTGTACCCTAAACTTTTCTTCAGTGGTCCGGACCCCACAGGTGGTAGATAATTCTCAGCACTTCATTGACACTGACATGGTTGTGGCGTGTTAGTATGTGTTTCGCTGGTATGAGTAAATGAGTAAATGAGTAAATGAGACAGAGACTTTTTTTTACAGTATTTATCGAGTTTTAGAATATTCCTTGATGATTTGTTTTGCAGAACAATTTAAAGCCCCTCAGTTATGACAGCAGAGCAGTCACATCAGGTAAAAACCAAAACACCCACATACAGCAAACTACATTTCACTGCAATTCTGACAAATCTATACGGTAGGGTTCAGAGCAGGTCAAGCTTCTGTAACTGTGAAGCACAGCAGGGGAGCGTGAGTGAGAATAAGGGGCTTAGAATAAGTATTCATCATCTTATTTGGAGAGGCATTACAGCACTCACATATATCCAGGCAATGTATGTTGTTACCACATAGTTTGACTACTAACATTATGCTATTTTTTCAGTTCTCATCTCTCTTTTCATCTGCTTCTCAGGATCTTTCTCAGGAAAGTAATCAAAGAACACCTTCAGTTATGTTTGTTCTGAGAACACCAGCCATCAGTGTCACTAGTTCAACAACATTCCTCAACGAGTGATTATAAGGATTTTAGGTGTTTCATCCTCTGTGAATCATTGCTGTCTATTTTTATTTCAATTTTTCCTACTGTGCCAATTGTTTTTGGAATTAGGTTTGCAGATGTGTACAGATGTGCAGTATTACCTCTATTTTGGGTTTTAGGTGTACAGCATGGTGTTACCTGTAGAAAATATGAAGTATTACCTGGCCCTTGCTGAAGCCCTCAAAGCCATCATGAACTGCAAACATGGTGTGGCCTTCAGTGATGCCCACCCTGACGGCAGAACGGACTGCGGCGTTCATGCCCGCTGCTGGAGCTCCCACATTTAACACAGCCACATTGAATGGACTCTACAGCATGGACAGAAGAGTTAGCACATGCACATACACTTACTGATACAAAAGGCCTGTTTACACCTTTCATTAACATGCGCTTTTGGTCATCAGATCACATTTGGATTTCTCTTGACCACATGAAAAACCAGATGTAAACGATTACGATTGGATCACTCAAACCACATTCAGAGGTAATTTTCGTTATCTGTAACAAAGTGCATACAAATGCACATAGTAACGGGGAATAGAGTAAAGAAAAGTAAAATGGAAATGATGTATGTGTTGATATATACAGGAAAAGTGCATTTGGATCTGATCTCCACCCTAATTACATTTCTGTGAAAAGTGTAACTAGAATCCAGCCAAAGTTTATCCAGAAACAATCCAAACACAATGTTAATGCAAGGTGTAAACAGGCTCAAAAAGTACTCACACCCAGACACAGTTAGTAGCTGCATAAAAGAAAAACATCTGCACCTGTCCTCACACTGGTTGAAGGTTGCATGCATGCAGTAATTAGAGATAGTGCTCAGATCTTGTATTATATGCAAAGCCTAGAGAACATTCTGTATCAGTGCAGCTGATGTCACTTCTCTCTCTCTCACTCTCTCTCTGATATTATCTCCATTTTTTCCTCTCTATCAACACATGCAGATTATATAAACTCACAGTGCATAATAAAAAGGCGAACTAGAGAGCTGCAGCCAGTGTGAAGCAGCATATTGATCAGGCTGCATTATTCCGCAATGGCTAGTCATGTTACACACAGTACACATACATGCAGAACGCTTGTGAAATACTGTAAGAAGCAGGGCCGGATCTGCAAAAATCAGGGAGGCCATGACAGTTTCATAGGTGAGCTACTATCTTTTTGTGTCACTGTCAAAAGGAACAAATTTTCACTAAGTACACATCCTTAAAGAGCACATTTTACTCATAGTACATTTACATTCTAAACCATGAGATAACCCTGAGGCATACAATTAGACCTTAAGAATCTTTTTGTACCTTTGATGATATATTTGGATTGTTTTTACCTTGGGAGAATTTAACAAAATGTTATTTTTTTCTGACAGTATATTTAAATTCCGCTAAACTGAATTATTTAAACAAAAACTGTTTAAATAAATAAGCAGTAATACAAAAGAGGCTGTGTTACAGTGATTTTACCATGGTTAAGGGGTAATGTAAGGGACAACATGCAACCAGATTTTAGAACTGATTTTTTTTTAATAATCATGTTTCCCTATAAGACAATGGTTTTATTCTGCTCTATTGTACTTGATAGATCTGTTGGTTTCTACTGCAGCGTTATTCTTGCTTCTATTATATTCAACTCTATTCTACTGCGAAAGAAAGGAAGAGATAAACCCCATTAGCTCTTTAGCACTCAGCTACATCTATGCATGGTGTACATACGCAGCATGGACCATCCTCCAAACTCTTTCCATCCTCATCCGTATAAGAGCAGAATAATCAATAAACAAATGCTGTCAGCAAGTAGTGTCACAAAAAGAGACAGCAACAACCCTTCATCTGACATGCTGAACTATACCGGTTATAATTAGTAGCTGGAAAATACAAGTCAGTACAATAAATTGAGACAATATATATTTTACAAGCAAATATATACACACTGCCTTAGACACAGTAGATAAAACATACAATAACAAGGTCAAAGTAATGTTTCCTATAAGAATCACATAACTACAGTATATAAATATGCTACATATAAAAGTTCAGGTATCAGTAAAACTCACTTTTGGGACTTCTGAGTCTGGTTTGCGATATGAGAGCAGCTTGTAGGTGTTTAGGTTGTTTTCAAAACTCCTGAAGATTTTAACACAAATAAAACACCTCAGTTATTCAGCAACTTCCTCTAATTGTTACTGCATTAAAGATTATCAGCATTTTTCAAAGGCTACGACTAAACCGAATAAAGCATACTACGCTATAAGAAAACTGAACTAGAATAGTGCACATGCTTTATGGATCAATTTAAAGAATGGATGGTTGGGCAGATAAATGGATGAAGAAATAGATAGATAGACAGATAGCTCTTAAACTGTTGTGGTTCAATCATTTGGATGAATGGATGGATAATGGCTGGCTAGATGGATGAATAGACTGAGAGATGGATAGACTGAGGAATGGATGGAGAAATAAGTGAATAGAGGCTGTCTTACCTCCCTCGAAGTTTAACTGCCTCCTCAAAGTTCTTCTTGTCCATGGCTCTCTGCACTTCCTGAGTCTGCACGCACACAAATACATTTAACATCAAAACTCATTATTATTATGATTATTATTATTATTATTATTATTATTATTATTACAACCCCATTTCCAAAAAAGCACTGTGCAAAATGAAAATAAAAACAGAATTAAATGATATGCAAATCATTTAAATCTTGTATTCAGTTGAAACAAATACAAAGACAACATATCAAATGTTAAGAAATTATATTGTTTTTTTGAAAAATATATAATATAAAATATATTGCCACTGTGCAGCCAAATAGTGCAACAATTCAAGAATAACAAAATAGCAAAGCACTTTGTGATTTCATCATTTACGGTACATGATATCATTAAAAGATTCAGAGAATACAGAGTAATCTCTGTATACAAGGACAAGGCTGAAAACCAATATTGGCTGGCCGTGATCTTTGGGCCCTCAGACGGCACTGCATTAAAACAAACATGATTCTGTAGTGGAAATCCCTGCATGAGCTCAGGAACACTTTTGTCTGTGAGCACAGTTCATCCCTGCATCCACAATTGCAAGTTAAAACTACTATGCAAAGAATAAACTACATATAAACACTGCTGCCTTATGTGAGCCCAGGCTTAAGATGGACCAAGGAGAAGTTGAAAGTGAATCAAAATTTGAAAATTTACCATGACCATCCGGCTTGCTATCAGCGCACAGTTCATAAACCACCATCTTTGATGGTATGGTGGTGCATTAGTGCACATGGCACAGGAGACTTGCACATCTATGAAGGCACCATTAATGCTGAACGATATATACAGGTTTTAGAGCAACATATGCTGCCATCTAGACAACATCTTTTTCAGTAAAGGCTTTGCTTATCTCAGCAAGACAATAACAAACCACATTCTGCGCATATTTCAATAACATGTCTCTGCAGTAAAAAAGTCCTGGTGCTAAACTGGCCTGCCTGCAGTCCAGACCAGTCAGCCATTGAAAACATTTGGCACAATTAAAATCATCGCACAATGAAAAATATGACAAAGGAGACCCCGAACTGTTGAGCAGCTGAAATTCTATATCAATCCTTTATTGAGCCAGAACATTTTTTTGAAAACTACAGCAACTGGTCTCCTCAGTTCCCAAATGCTGTTGTTAAAAGAAGAGGTGATGCAACATAGTGGTAAACACACCCCTGTCCCAACTTTTTTGAAACATGTTGCTGGCATCAAATTCAAAATGGGCATGTAATTTTCAAAAAACAATGAAATTTCTCAGTTTCAACATTTGATATGTTGTACCGTTTTCAGTTACATATAGGGTTTAAATGACTTATACCTCATACTTACTTATACAACATTTCTAATTAATGTATAAAACAATTTGTATTTTTATGCAAATTTAGCGCACAGTTTCTATTTATTTGCAAATAAAAATACAACCAAAAATATAAGATGTGCAAATATTTTTGCACAGGCCACATTTTATGTTTTATTACTGTTATTATTTATTATATTTCCAATATGTTAATTTTAACATATTTTAACAAATAAACAGTAATTAAAATGTGCACAGTTTTCTTCTGTGTAGATGATGTGTTAACTTATTTTCACTTAGAAAATCTTGTGCAATTTGACAAAATGTTTACAAACTGTATTCTCTAGAATGCTATTCCAGAATTTAGGCACTATATAAAAAAGGATCTTCCACCAGCTAAACTGTACATGATCCTAGAACAGGGGTGTGCAGTCTCATCCACAAAGGACAAGAAAGAGCACTTATTTATTCAATTAGTCTCAGTTTTTCTTGGAATATAAATCTGTAGCCCTGGCCTAGCCCTTTGTGAATAAAACCGGACATCCCTGTCCTAAAAGTCTGCAATAAGCTTGCCTCAGCTGAGTGAAGTGGTCTGGATGGGCTATAATGAAGAGATGGGTCAGATTTGCTGGATCTAGGCCATTAGAAGGCTTAAATGGCTTTAAATGTCATAAACAAGACCTTGTAGTCAATGCAGAACTTTACAGGAAACCTGAGTAAACTTAATAAGAGCAGGATAATATACTCGGGCTTTCTTTTCTTAGGAAGGACATGACCTGCTGCATTCAGCATGGACTCCAAACACGCAGACACACAAATGCATGCATGTTTGCATAGTGGCACATACAGACATACACACACACACACACACACTAACCATCTGCACACATTCCATGAGAGGCAGCCTAATGGCCTGATTTCCACGCAGAGACACCACACAGGCAGGAGTGTCTGGAGATGCTTCCAACAAAGCTAACACTGCCTCCACCCCCATTCTACTGGCCTAGAGAGAGAGAGACAGACAGACAGACAGAGATAGAGCTCAAAGCCTTTGCTGTTTTTTCACACTAGCTGGTCCTTACATTTTGTGAACATGTCATGATAAATTGATCGATGGTCCAAAATTACTTGGAATATCTATTTACATGAACATACATCAACAGTTTGTTTCCTTCTTCTCCTGAAAAAGTACAATTTTGGAGATTTTGGCCCCTCTTCATCAAAGTTGCATGATCATAAAATGAGCGCACAAAAAATTTCACAGACAGTTCTGCTGTTCATCAGTATCAGCTTTGGTGTATCTGTATCATCATACTCTTGCCTCGTCTAATAGGAATGCATGTAAATTTGAGTGTAACAGTTTAACAACTCAGAAAAAAATTATGATTTGCGGCTAACTAAACCAAAATATCACCAAAATTATCTACAACACCAATAATAAGAATAAAACAGAAAATAAAAATGCTAATATTTTGTGCCCATGCACAATCAAGTACAAAAAGGATGTACCTATTTTACACGTACTATGGTGTAAACAAAAACTGCAGCTATTCCATGCTACATTTAAAGACAAATTACGCTGTGCTTTTGTTTTATACTACAAACAAAAACTAAAAAAAATACTAAACACAGCTCATGCAGAAGCATTCTGCTTCTTATTTCAGGAAAATAATCACACTACACAATTACATCATTCTAAAGACTTAAAAATCAAAGACATTTTGTTTATGTCACATTTTAGTCTTTCCAGTCATAATTTTGACACTAAAAAATGTGGTCAGTAGTGGGAGAAGTGCACTCATTGTCTGACCTCAAACTCCTCATACGAGCTGGTTCATGAGCTGCTGAATGCTGTCGTTTTATTGGCTCCGTACTGGAACCTCTGCATGAATTAGGGCGTGATTCATGTAAATGATATGTAAATGAGGCACTAGTAGTCTGTGAGTAGTAGTATTTGATTTCACACACTGAAGCTAATTTATCACCTGTGCTCCAGTCTCCACTTGTTTCCTTTGAACTTTGATAAATAAGTGCCAACGTGTAGAAATTTGGTAGACATCTTTTGAGACCCAACATGTATTATACATATAGGCCAATTTGCCCATCATTTATGTTTTACTAGCTGCAAAATGGATAGAATGGATGGCTAGCTTAACCCTAAACCCTAATCCTAAAACTGTGCTTGGATCCTGATGATCGCTATTTGCAATGTAACCTGTAGACAGTTGTTAAGCTCTTACAGCAGTTACGACAGTCCACAGAAATCAACTAAATCAGTTTCAGACAAAAATGAAGATGTAGCTGACTGCCTTGGTTTGCTAACAATTAAAATGTTTACAAATTTACCTTTTCACCCACCGCTCGAAAGCTAAATAATAAAACCAACTTTGTCACTCACAAAACATGGCTCTCTTTTCACTTTTCAGTAACGTTATCTTTGTTAGTTCTGATTGGCCAATAAAAATGAAATACTGTATCTCTGGATTGGCTGAATAATGACCAGAACCGCTGCTGTGCTGTGTTTAAGGGGAGGAGGGATCCGCTCTCAGAATTCTGTTGGCAGCAGACCCCCCCTTCCCAAAATTAAAAACTCATCAGATCTGCACAATTCATGTGCATGGCATATTCATCACTCAAAATTACTAATTTTGATCACAAGTCTGCAAGAATACAGATCATACCAGGATTCTATCGAAGGCGGAGGGCGTCCCTCCTCTCTGCACATGGCCCAGGATGGTGACGCGGGTATCAAAGCCCAAACATCTTACCACCAGCTACAAAACAAAGACAACATCAGCTTCAGATTGGATGACACATTGTATCAAAGCCCACACAGCTCACCACCAGCTACCTTCACACACATTCACATAACTCCACAACACACACACACTCAGATGGAAAGGGAGAGAAAGAGAGAACAGAGAGTTTCCCCACATTGCTGCATGAAGCCACTGCTGTAGCTTTCAGCCAATGCGCTAAAGAAAATATTTGTACTGAAATATGACTGATGATTCTGAAAATAAAAAGAGATAGACATGCAGGGAGTGTTAAATTTAATAGAGGCAAATGAACTCAAATACAAAAAGACCAGATGTCACTACAGAGATTCCCAATCCAGCGTAAGGACCTCCAGTAGATTCACATCTCTTCCAGCTCTCAGTTCACCTGAGCCAGATAACCAGCAATAATCTACCACCTTTGTTTACCTGCCTCATGTCCAAAAGTTTGTAGTCATTGGCTCATCTAATTCTCCTTATAAAATCAGCAAGTTTGTCCCCCTTTGCTCCATGTGCTGCAGTAACAAGCTATACTCTTCTGGACAGACTTTACACTAGATGTTAGAACATTTGTCTGCATTCATCCTTTGCTATTCCAACACATCCCAAAGGTATTCAGTGGTGCTCCATCACTCCACTGAATGCAGTTCCATTGCTCTACAGCCCAGTGCTGGGAGTTTAATACCCCTCTAGCTGATGCTTGGTATTAGACATAGTGACCTTAGACTCTGGCTGCTCCATTCTATTGGCAATGCATTTCTATAAAGATAATTTAAACTGCATGTGTGCAATGTTGAATGTCTGTGTCAGCAGTGGCTGCATTCACTTATGAAGGTGGTGTCTGGATACTTTTGGATATATGTTGTGAGCTCAGATGGAAGATAACAAAAACATGAGTTGGCCCATCACTCATTAGTGGGAATCTCTTTAGTAGGACATCACCAACCGTCAACCTGACATCTGCCCTCCTGCAGAATTCAGCTCTCACCCACGTCTAAGGACAGAATTACACATCTGCAAATTTGTGATTTCTGTAGTTTTGTGATCATGTGGTTGCATTGTGCACAGATGTTTACATACATTAACGTAAGACATGAGTTAACGTAACATTTACGTCTGTACTAGTGGCCAGTGCTGCATATTTCCAAATCAGAATGTACAGATAATGAAGAAAAAACAACATTTTTTAATGTGATAAAAAAAAAAATATTTCATATCATTCTGGGTGTCATCCTGCTACCAGATATGCAGTACATCCCTGCACAACCAATCAATGTTTGATTGACAGACGGCACTGCAAATTCACGTGTCAACTAGCTGAGATTTTTTGGGGTGTGCTCATTGGTTCCTCTGTGAGCTAAAATAATCCATGTCCTGTTTCTCTGTCTCAAATACACTCATGTGCAATTTGCTCAGTTGTAAATCAGTCGTAACACCTGATTCAGGTCCAAGTAATCAAGGTCATCTGAAGAATTGCGGGTGAGTTGTTTTAGGGTTGCAATGGTAGGCAAGTTTTGTTAGGGTTTTCTAAAATTCCTGGTCATTCTAACAAACAGTTAGTATATTTAAATGCAAAACTAAGGCATGGACATGTAAGCAGCATGGTTGTTAAGGTCTGGCTTAGGTTTTAAGGCCTATTTCCACAAAGTATGATTTGTGTGGAAAAAAAAAGCAAATGTGATTTTTTACATAATGGAAAATTAACATCAAGTCCAATGTGTTTTTTTAACACTAGAACGCAGAAATATCCACATGTTTATTGTCAACATATTGCTTGTCATATAAGCTTTTGTGCTGTGCCACATGCAAGATAATGTTTATGTCATATATATCTATGGTATATTTACATTTTGAAAGAACTGCTTTAAGTATTTCAAAAAAATCTGCAGGGATGCTTTCCCTTGCTTCTTGTAAACACCTCCTATTTCCTTTTCTAAGTAACGGCTTCTTGACAGCTACACATCTGTTTAGACCCATAGTGCTGAGGTGTCTTCTCACAGTGGAAGGGTGGACAGAAACGCTTATGGATGTTTTCTGAGCTTTAAGTACTGTTTATGTGATGGTGACAGTTTTAATAGCCTACCCCCCCAATTTTAGGAACTCCTGTTCACAGTATACAGCATTGTATACCATATTATACCCTTAATTTATTTTATTTCCAGTCAAAACAGCCTTTATAAATTATTAAATTTTCAGGAGATATTTCTGAGTAGATTACATATAGGATAGTCTACTTGCTTAAGAAACGGGCAAGTTTCTGAGCACTAAAAGCCAATTCTGTTAACAGACACCTGCACTGGCTAGAATCACTGAGTGATGAGGAGAGAGGGAGGGCCAACCTGCCCACCCAATGGGGCCAATTATGCTCTCTAGAACTCCTTGTAGCCAGGGACCAAACTCGTGATCTCCTAATGATAGGGGGAATGCTTAGACAGCTGTGACACATATTTTTAAGTTCTGGAACACTCACACATGGACAAATTTAGTTGCGTCATGAAGGGGGTGTTTCATGTTATTAAGTCATACTAATATGGTATGTGCGTAAACACAATTATAAATAGACTGGTCTTTCATACAACTCTTCACACCTCTTAACTCTGAAACCTTATGTTTAGCCACCATGACAACTTCAGTTAGGGCTGAATTTAGTACAGTAGCTATTACAGAACAACAGCTCCTAAATTCATAATTTTATCTGAATTCCGGACAAAAAAACTGTCTTACAGAAACATCATCACAAGACAAAACCTTGTAAATACTGCCCTAACTTTAGTACAAACCCAGCGGTGTCTTCTGTTCTAAGCTTCTGTTTCTACTGTTAGCAATTCTGTTGTAAAAAAGAGACTGTTATTGTTTTTAAAGCAAATGTGAGCCAGCATAACTATAACTAGCATAATGACATTACATTTATTCATACTGCAAAATATTGGTTTCACTTGTGAGAGTGATTTTTTAAACTCTGTGGTTCAAAAATGTCAGACACTGCAGTTACGTTCTCCCCATTCCCTCTCATTACCTTTGTGTGTTAATGTTGATTAAAACTTGCCAAATAAAATACTGCAGTGATGCTAAAGAATAATGAGAAGACTGTGACTGTTTATTAGGAGGAATAACATTAGCATTGCTTGCAGGCCAGCTAAAGCTTTGGGAAATAGACTATGAATTTCTCTTATCTCTCAAAGATAAAAGCTCTAAGTATAGTTTATATGATGGTGACACATTTGGTAGTCTACCAGGTTATTCCAAGGCTGTCAAGAGTTACATTTTCTCTCTTTTAATAACTTTTGAACTTCAGTTTACAAAGTACAGTACTCTTCAAAATTCAGAGACTGGAAAATTAATTTAATATCTGGTAAAAAACAGCCTTTACATACAAGTTGAGCCATTTTCAGGAGGTTTTCTTCTGAGGAGATAAGAATACAGTATATTCCACTTGTATAAGAAAAAACGTTTCTGAGCGCTGATGGCTAATTCTCTTAAAAGATTCCTGCAGTGGCTAGCATCACTAAGTGATGGAAGAAGAGAGAGGGCCAACCTACCCACTTAATGGGGCCAGCTATGCTTTCTGGGGATCCCTAACTTCTGTTTTTGCTGTTAGCCTTTCTGTTGAAAAACGACAATGTTATCTATTTTAGAAAACTGTGACATGTAGCATAAGTTCTTTAACAACTGATTATCAACCTCAGTCAAAGACTTTAAGATTTCTTAAGTTAAGACAAGATGCTGTAGACAAAATATAATTCCTAAATTAAAAAAAGGTTTTCTTCTATAATATAAATTTGTGAAAAATATTGACCTTGTCAGATCTTTATTTAGGGCAAAAGATAGGAAGTTTCTGCTATACTAACTAAGAGCTTAGTTGGCTACTGTGTGCATGTAAACATATTTAGTTTAAAGCAATGGCACTTAATACAAATCACAGGAACCCAGTGCTCTGCATATTTTTGTGCTGTCCTTGGTCAGCTTACACCTGACACCTGGCTTTAGAATTAGCTATTGAGTTGAGACAGATGTGAAGCTCTGGGGTTAGAGCATGCAACTGCAGAAGTTCAGACACAGTCCAGGTGGACAGAAGAACAGCAACAGGTAGGTGGGAGAACATGCAGGTCGAGGCAGGGTAAGAGTGAGATGATGATGATCTAAGCCAGCTGTGCAGTACTCACGTCTTTCACATAGTCCGTAGTTATGGACCTGTTGTGCGAGTCTAAGGCTCCCTCTGCTACTATGATGATATTAAGCCTTTTCTTATCTGCTCGGTTCTACAGGGGGTTTAAAAGCACACAAATATCACACATGCAGAGCAAAGGTAAGATGCAGTACTCACGTCTTTGACAGCATCAGATGAGATGGGTTTGCCGTGCCGGTCTATGGCTCCCTCTGCCACTATGATTATGTTGAGACGAGAACCACGCAAACGACTCTGTACAACAGCATATACACAACAGCGAAGGAGCAACAAAAGGACGTGTGTGTGTGTGAGTCTGTTTATACTTGTCATTTGTTACAACTCTATGGGCCATAATGTGTGATTTTCTTTTAATTTTGCTATGTAGTGTTTGTAGTGTAAGAGACACATATTAGATAACTGGAGTTTTTTGCTCAGGAGAAAAATCTGAGCAGCAGGAGACTTCAGGAAAAATCCCCTTTGTCTTTCCATCTGATCTCATTGTTGTCTAGGAGAAACTACACAGACAATAATAAGACCTCTTCTTTGATTTTTCTAGAGGCCGGCTCCCTCTGAAATCCTCACAGCCTGAAAATGTAAAATGTCTGTTTAAAAGGGCTCATCTCTTTGTTGAGATTTTCATGAATACATGGTGGTGATAAAGCTTTGAAGTGTACGGTAAACTCTGAGCTAGTGATGCTGAACAGACACATGAGTCTTGCATAGAAATCTGCTTGTTGGGCAGAAAGGATCTTTTTTGGTTAGTTTGGTTTTAGTTTAGTTAGGGAGTTAGTTTAGTTTTTGTATTTTCTTTTCTTTTCCTTTCTAGGTAAATTAGTTTTCCCCAAACCTAAGTTTAGCTTTCTTTTATTTGTTATTTTCTCTTTACCTACCCTACAGCTCCATTCCTTTTTCCTCTTTTATCCAGTTATTTTGACGTTTGGGACGTACTTGAAGTAAATAAAACTGTTTATCATTGCACTGCTGGTTGTACAAGAAGTATGCAATATGATTATGAGTTTTTTCACCAAGAGGACCAGCACATCCATTTTTTCAGTCTTGAGGCCTGAAAGTAATGTGACAGACTACATTCAATAATGTAAGATATAATTAAAATAGCATTTCTTGCAATTTGAAAATTGCACTTGTCCAAATTGCAACTGATATTAAATGATTAATTCTTGTTTACCCTTTGAGCCTCACCAGGAGGGCACAGATCTCTTTTATTTATGTTGCGGCCAGACTTAATGCATTTTACTGTCATTGTAAGCGCGAGAAGGCTTGGTTAGGGGTGGGAGATATGACAAAAATACAATGGGCCTCATTCACCGACTATTCATAACAAGAAATTTCTTCTTAAAACGCACTTACGCAGTTTTCAGGAAAATTTTGAGATTCACTAATGTTTCTTATCTGGGATTTGTTCTTAGGTAAGAACGGAATCTGCACACATGACACTGATGTAGACTTTTTCTTAGGACCTTTCTCAAGAAAACATTTTAGAAAAAAATTTATGAAGATATTGGTGAATGAGGTCCAATGTTATGATAGATGCAGACATTTTCATGATACCCAATATGTATCATGATATTTAGTGTTTTGATAAGATAGAACAGACAAGAAACAACCAGCAGCGCCACATTTAGAAATAATGTATAAAAACTATGAATACAATGATTTTTGTTTCACACTGACTTTACTATATTTTACACTGACTTATGCTCTCATTGTAATAAATCATGCAGTTGGTTAGCATTTGTTCACTGTTTTTAAAAGGCCTATATCATAGAAAACTGAATTTTCCTCATTCAAATGAAAGAAGTTTATGTTACTGCATTGCTCACTCCTTAGTCCATGCAATTGATATATCAAAACCATGCTGCAGAAAGGGTCGATACTGAATTCATTGTTTTTTTATGTCATAAAACCAACTCATTTACGTGTATCCACCCACACAGCCAGCTGCAGTTTAGCCCTACCCATTCATACCAAAGTTATAGGGAATGTTTCAGCCTGGACTGCTTTCTGCATGAAATACAATACTGGCAGCCAATCAAAACAGAGATCATTTACACATATCTTAAATGCACAGTAACAAAAATAGCCTGTTTAATTCAAAGGGATAAAGAGAAGTTGGAAAATGGTCACGTAAAAATGAATTATATTGACAGTTTTTGGTACATAAGCCCACACAAACATCATAATTTGACAAAAAAAACATGTAAAAATAAAGGCTCTTTAAGTACTGATGATATCTACAACATGCTCAAAACAGTACTGGGACAAAATGTGATGTAATTTATCATTCATGATAACAATAAATATTGTCATATTGCAAACCACTAGGTTCCATGTATCCATGTATGTGGCTGTGTTCTTGCATAATTTTGTATATGTACAGCCTACGTGTGTGTGTGTGTGTGTGTGTGTGTGTGTTACCTCTGATAGTTTCTGACACATCTGTTCCTCCCAGCCATCCTCTGGAGGCATTTCAGGAATCAGCACCCAGTCAGCACCGCACGCTAAAGCACTGACTAATGCTAGATACCTACATACATGCACACACCACAGCATGAGTTTTAGTACATATATCCCTGATCTTTAATACTAATACTTATAATATTATAATTTTTATAATATTAATTTTTAACTTCATAGCTGTTATATTAGTAATTAGTAACTTACACTTCTTAGCAGGTTTCTTTTATTCTCTTCCTTTTTTTATCCATGTTCATTACTTTATATGCATTACATTTACTTTATTTTATTTAAATTTTATTTTTATTTGGACCTTTTGTAATTAGGTTTTTATTTTTGGACTTCGCGTTAAGAACAGTGAACTACCTCGCATATGAAAATGTGCAATATAAATAAGACAACAACAACAACAAGAAAAAAAAACAAGAAAACATTTAAAAAGGCTTCTGACCACTGAAGAACAGGGTAAAAGGGGCATAAGTAAGCATGCATAGAAACAGATGGACTACAGTCTGTAACTGTAGAACTACAAAATGCACCTTTATAGTAAGAAAAGCTGATAAAATGAAGAAAGTATGTAAATATAGGAAGATATATGTAATATACATATTTTCTCTGTTGGAACAAAACCTTGTATCTCCAAAACGGTAACTTTACAGGAAAAGGAAAAAACATTATTAACTTATAATGAAAGTTTATGTAAAAATATTTTCTTCCAAGTAATTTTGGACATTTTTTATTGGTCTGTTAATCAAGTTAATCAAGTTTTCAAATTATGCAAAAAAGTAAAAAACAAGGTTACTGAATAGAGATTACAAAATTTTAGTGCAACAGCGATGATACACTGTTTCTTACAGTAACAGAGACAAGTAGAGAATTTAAAATATGCATAATCATCATGCAAATTACCAACTATTTACTGCTGATTTATGCAATGCATACAATGTTTTAAAATCCAGTAACTGTGACAGCCCTAAAATACTTTTTCATATATGCAGCCTCACCCGCAGTGTCTCCCCATCACCTCCAGGACGAAGGTTCTCTGATGGCTACAGCACAAACACAACATGCAAAATCATTAGATCCTTTAGCTGCTGGCTCTGGGGACTGAAATAACAACACAACTCAGGAGAACACATGATAGACCACCCGTCGCTTTATGTGCTTCATCCAAGGACTACAACACAACAGATTTACACAGTCTGCCAGATATAATACAGCACAACAAAACAACTGGTTCATCTGCCTGGCCTGACTAGAGTTTGCTTTGTGCTTCCAGGGAGTTACACATGTCTGCAGTGTGTTTTACTGTATGTGTGGTGTCCATGTTTGTACTTGCATGTGTGTCAGTTTGAAATTGTATGTGCATGAACACATATGGGCATAGTTGCCCTCTGGTGTGGATGAGCATGTATTTGTGTGTGCCTTTAGGCATGTGTGCATGACTATGAAGATTAAATCTCTCTACTTCTGATTGTGTCTGCCTGTGGTTATGTATGTGTGTTAGAGTTTTAATTGGGCCTAAGTTGTGGTCCGAATCTGAATATTACTTGAGAAATTTCTGTCCAAGCCAAACCAAACCCGAAGCAGAACATCTCATTTAGAGTCCTGTCTGTCCGAACCTGACCTGACAAGAACCACATCAAAAAGTTTTAAAAATGACCCAAGTACAAACCCCCACCTCCCCCTCCGGGGATGCCTATCAAGAAGTACTACAATTAAAATTTCAAAATGTATTTTATTGGCATTTATTGAAGTAACATTACTGGTATTATGATTAACTGAGTTCACTAAAGTTAAGGTTAGTTGGACCATTATTTCACAATATAATAATATTAATGATAATAACAATAATAATACTACATGACCTTTAAAGCCCTAACAGTTTCTAAAAAGACTGAGCATCTCACATTATCTGACTGGTTTCAGCAGATTTTTCTGAGCAATTGAAATATTGGGGATCACACACTAAACTACGTGGGAACACACTCTACTCAACCTTGAAGTCGTTGCTGAAACGAGCTGAACTCACCGAACTGGCGCAAACTCACATGTTCTCCTGTTACTAGGAAACGAAAATGCACAATCTTGAAGCAGCTTGCTGCTGTGGCTGTTTTCTCTGCCATTTGCGCTGACACAGTAAAGAAGCACCAGGTAAACATATTCAAATGAGGGTAATGGATGTAAAGTTGTAATTGGTCTGGTAGATTTTAGAGTTTTGAATGCACATAAATTCAATTGTGCCCGTGCTGTAACTCAGTTCATTAAAAACTTTGCTACACATACGTGACTTTCCACCACTTTTTTCTTTGTTGTATTTACTTTCTAATTTGTATTTACTTTTCAAATTTACTTCTTTCATGCTCTGACTTTTCATTGGCTGTTAGGAGTCCATTCAGATTGAGTCACAGACTAGTACACACAATTAGATTATGCTCGGAGTTGGGTTGAAAAGAATATAATTTGTTTGATATTCTGCTGGTCTGAAACGCAAGTCTGGTCTGAAGTCTGAGTCCCTCACACACTCCCGTCGGCTGCAAAGAAATAGGAAGACTGGTTGAGTGTTGCCACGTGCACTAAACTGCACTTTCCTGAATCCACTGGCCGTTTTATTTTCTGTGCATTGTCTCACGGAGGAGGAAAGGGAGGAAGAATAGAGTAAGGAGAAAAACTAAAGCAGGGGGAAAAGTTGGTAAAAGCTTTTAAAAGTGGGAGGTGGATTGTGAGAACCTGCACATAAATTTGACCTGACGCAACATATGTCTGACCCTGACTGAAACTGATGGGAGCAATAGCTCAAGTTTTAATGTGTCTGTGGGTGAGTATGTACCTCTGTGCTGTGGTCATTATGGCGTCCACCACCTCTATGATCCTGTGCAGAGCGGAGTCGGTGCCGATGGTCATGTCTGTTCCACAGAAGTCATTATCTATGGAGCCCACCATGCCCACGATATGCAGCGCAGAATGCGTTTCAGCTGCCTGCTCATCTATCTGACCTGAGATAGAAACACGGAGCAGGACATCAAACACAGAAAGAAAGATACCCAATATGGAAAGAAACCTATTTCAGTAAGAACACCCAACCCAGGAACGTGTAGAACGACATCAAAGCTGAATCAGGTCTGTTTATCTGGATTTATGTACCAACAGTGATAAATCTTTAACATGACCATTTTCCAACCTCCCTTTATCCCTTACACCTTGTCCTAGGAGCAAGTGATATAAACAGTGATGTAAACAACAAAACCAAAATGCTCCTTATAATCAGTGAAGCTGTCTACATTAGCTGCGAGGGGCACAGTGCGATGCAGTGCGCATTTGATGTTTCTGGTGTAGACATCTGGAAGGCTTTGTGACTTATACTACATTTGAAGGTTACTGAATGAGTATTCAGTAACCTTGTTACACAATAAAAAAGGAACGCAGAATGTTTAAAAAATAATTAATTAAAAAAAATAAAGAATTTACATATGCATAATACATCCGCAGTCTCTAATATTCTCTGATTAATCACCCCTTTAAACAACCTACTCAACACCAACAGTTCATTGATTGGATTAATTTTGTTAAACCACGGCTGGAGGACATTTACAACAACATAGGCCTGTTGCCGCTAATTATCTGTGTACTACCACTACTCACTCCTGCCAGCACTTGTCTGCCCTCCTCCAGCATGTGATACAGGGCTGTTTATCCCTGCACCTCTAGATTACAGAACAGCCTCTTCCCCAGGGCCATTACACAAATAATTTGGTAATCAACAGCTCTCCATAACTGACATTTCCCATGCAGCACTTCTCTCCCTCTTAATCCCTTCTCCTTGGTTCCTGACTTCTCAGTGCACTCCCACAATCCAGCCACTGCATGGATTTGTTCATATCAGCAGCATACCTGATTTAATTAAATAACTGATTAACTAAAGCAGGTACTGGATGGTAACTAAACAAAACAAAATATCAAATTCAAGGAATTGCTGATCAAATTTTGTTTTACTTGCACAATGACAATAATTTATCCATTAACTGATTCATAATTGTGATGTATTGAACACACTACTGATCTATTAAACTCTTACTAATCTAAGCTCCTTCTCTGTTACCTGTTTGCACAAGCTCCTCCAACAGGCCGCTCCACTCCTCCCTGAACAGATTAGCCCCGGTCAGGCTGCCGTCTCCACCAATCACACACAGGTTTGTAACTCCGAGTCGTACCAGGTTCAGAGCCGCACGCAGACGGCCCTCATGTGTACGAAACTCTTTACAGCGGGCACTGCCAATTACTGTACCACCCTGTACACAATTACACATACACATACAGACTTATACACATACATAAGGAGATATTTGACATCTGTGGGTCACTGAACTTAGTACAGAGTTTCATTTCTCTGCCTGTGTTTCGAGGGAAACTGTCAAATATGCTGTGTCCTGCCAGAACTGAAAAAGTGTGGTCTTTACAGTTAGTCTAAAAATGGAAAAAATCTTAACAATGTTGTCCAACCAATATGCCTGGATTCCACTCCTAAGAATCAAAAATTCACGCTAATATTAACTTGATTCACTAATGTGGACACAGACATCCAACAGTCCAAGTCGAGTCTCAAATCTTAACAGTTTCAGGTCACCAGATTACAGTGTCAAAACTGGACAGCCCTTGTTGCAGGGCATGTAAAAATATGTGTTTTATCATTTTTATTTTTGCATGTGATCATACAGTTAAGAGCTATACAATGAACTTTCTACTAGTGTCTACTTTTCTATCTATTTGATCTTCAACTGTGTAACAACAGAACAATGAAAAAGCAACCTATTGCTTATTCACTGATGTATAAGATTAAGTTATGCATTAAACTGCTTGCTGATACTGACTGTAATTGAGAAATAATGGCCCAGCATAACATAGCCTACCTTTACCTACCCATGTGATGTGTCTCAACTTGAATATTAAATAGGATGTTTAAAATAGCAAATGCACCGGTAATAGTGTACTACTTAACTGACATGATATTTAGTACACTATATTTGGTTTGGGATGCAGCTGTACATTGCATCACTAATGCCAGGACTATCTACTTCAATTAATGTAATGGATTTAGAGTGAGACTCAACAAACTGATTAAAAATATACCAACCAGACACTGGACAACAGACCTCAAAACCAGACTGCCCAGTCCTAAATCGGACATCTGGCAACGATAGTGCAAATCTGAGTCGAGTCTTTAATCTTTAGTCAAGAATTTTAGTAATTTTATTATTAGCTGTAGGCTAAAGTAAACACCAAATAAAAACCTTAAAAAAAAATTAAAGCCAAATTTAATATGGCTTTAAATATTGAGCCTTTCATTACAGAAAAACCTCCAGTCTGATGGAAAGAGTTTAATCACTACATGCAGTAAATTTGGTGTTAGGTGTTAGGAAAGACACAAAACAACTTAAAACAACTGGTTATTCCACAGTTTCTATAGTAAGCTACCCAGCAAACCAGCTAATCCAACTAAAGCGATGTGATCCGTTTCTAAAACATCTAGAACAGTTAGATTAGCTGATAATTTCAGTTAGGTCCAAACTACATGCTAGTCAATCATTTTGCGTCTTTCCTTTCAAAACTGCATTTACTGCATGTAGTACTTCATTTCTGTCCATCAGACTGAATGTTTTCATATAAATAAAGGTTCATTATTTAAAGCCATATCAAACCTGCTGGTGCTGTGAGCTGCAGGAGAACAACAATGCAGTAATGACTGTGCATGTTTGTAGCAAATCTAACAAGTAAACACACATAATTGACCACATTAAGGGCTGGTGGCCCTAATTTAATCAGTTTTGTTTGTATTATTTTATATTTGTATTTTTTCTTGGGCTAGATAAAGGCAAGTTTAAGTTGAGTCACAAGTCAGTCAACACTGGATTCAAGTACAACTTGACTCAAATCTCCATTTCTGAATGTGGATATTAAAGATGTGCATTCTGATTCATTTTGATATTCGAGTATTTGTAAGAATTACAGACAGTATATTTGGTCAACCATTGGGAAAAAACCTTTTAGGATTACTTTTTAGGTCATAGCACTGGTGTTAAAAGCACACAAATGTGGCAGCAGACATATGAAAAGATGATTTTTTATTAGTAGTAGTGGAGCTTGCCTCTTCAGATAAGCTAATGAGCTAACACTAAAGCTAACTAGTATGGTGTTGGATGCTGATGAGGTCACGTCAAGGTACTTTCTTTCAGGTGGACATATGCCAACAAGTTAGTTTGTCCAAGAAATAGCTTTTCATTGATTCTAGATCCAGCTAACATCACCTAGAGTAGTTAGCCTAGTTAGTAAGACAAACAATTATCACCTGCAGATTTGTCACAAACAATGTTTTTGTGATCCAAATTCAATTACAAAGTACCACATGTGGGCATTACAGAGCCTTACCCTACAGCAAGCATCTTCCCTGATAGTATTACGTATCATGCTGTTAATACTGAATGGTTCTTCACATTCATTTAGTTAAAAACTAAACTATTGTCAAACTGGTGTGTTGGCACCCTTCTTCTGGACTGATTTTACTCTGTAAAGAGTCTTCTCATAATGCAACATAACAAATATTCAAACAGTGATTTCAGTTTTTGAATGCTGGCCCCTGGGACTGTTAACCACATACTTGAGTAACATACCTGTGCACATCCCTATTGGATGTATTCAAGTAACCCGCAAGAGATGTCAATCCAATAATGCTCTGTGCTTTTTGGTAAACATGGGAGCATGATACAGAGCCATGCTTACCAATAAAACAAAGGAATTTATTCGCAAAGGAACTCTTAATAAAACAATTCAATATCTCTAGAACTATGATGCAACATGTTGTTATTGTTTGGTAAATATTTAGAGATCACAGAGCTTTTCCTGCAATGTCCACAACTATTATAAAATATTTCCAAAAATAGTAACAGTAGTATTTTAAAGTGAACAAGAGAAAAAATATTACACAATTATGAAAAATAAATTACAAAACGATGGCGATGTGATCCAAGACCCAACTTGTTCATTTGCATTTTTGTGGTTACTTTACTTTTTATGATACATAAGTTGTTCAGTCTTCTGACAGTAGTAACAATATCCATGAAACACTAAGAAAAGCATACAGAAACATATTGTCAGATTGTCAATGCCTACTAAACTTCACCAGCTACCGATAACATCACCAAAACTGCTAACTCCCCATTAGTTTCATAATAAATAACGCTGATGTACATGATAATGCTACATTGATAAGTGTCATATCACATTTTAGTATCATCTATATAGTACTGACCAGTTGAAGCATGCTGGAGACACTCTCCCATGTGGCCTCCCTGATGTTGTCACCTCCATCCACCATGCCCTGGTAACCCTGCATGAGAGAGCACACTTAATCTTATTGAACTATTAGCTGATCTTAATCAAGAAGCAGCAATTGCATATTTAAATGATTTCAATTGCACAAGTTTAGTTCTTCTGTAAAGATAAACAGCATAAATTTTTTTGGGGGGGGCTCAAAAAGATGGGGTGTTCCTCATGAAAGTCAATGCTATTGCTGATATACACACATTTATAAAATGTTGAAACTGGGATAAACATTATGGAGAAATGTAACGTTTATTTGTAGATGGTTACAAATTGAGTAGAATTAAGAGAATGCAGACATTTTAGCACAGTGGTCAGGGTGTCTCCCCTCTGGGGAGACTGCACATGGACTCTCACATTTTAGACTGGCTCACTTCAGCTCCAGCTCCACCCTGTCTCTTTCCATTCGTAATTACACACACCTGCAGCTAATTCTGAACTTACTTAGTTCAGTATATGGAACATTCTACTGAATTAGTTTAAACTGTGGTCCCACAGCAAAATAAATAAATAAATAAATAATCAGACATTCGATTATTTTATGATTTATTTAAACACATGTCATTAATTGAGATAGTAATGTGCTAAATATATCCAAAATCATCATTTATAGGATACTTCCTATCGAGAGAGGGCTGTCCCAAACTCTAACCCAGTAGTTCTCAAACCGGTGCTCAGAATCCCACATTTTTGCTCTATCACTTGGCATTGCAAGTCAGGTTGGAGTACAAATATGGACCGGCTAGGGGACTGAGGACAGGTTTGAGAGCTGTAAATTTCAGCTTGTGAAAATAATACTTAAAATAGTTTTTTTTTTAATGTTTTTTGAAGATCTTTTTGATTTTTTTAAAGTGAAGAAATCTAAATGTATCATTAAAAACTTTATATCCCAAAGAGTTTTAGTCCATTATTTTATTTTATCAAACGCTTGCATTTTATAGCAGGAAGTAAGACTGAATCCCTGCCCTTCATGGTCAGATGGGCTGCGTCCAGAAATCCTGAAAGTGACTGCTTTTTCCTACTGATGCTCCTCCTCTCCTATGTGACCCAGAAACCGACTGACCCAGAAGGATAACTGGCTGAGATAGTGTGGGTGGAACAGGCACACTCTGTGTAGCAGCTTAGGCTGTGCTTTCAAGTGAACATTGTTATTTGTTCACTTCATCAATAGCTGACACCAAATTATGACGCTGAAATGAATCAGCTGTCCTATTTCCCTAGTTTCAGCTTGTTCTCTCCACTCTTCCTGATCCTTTCCGCTCCTTGATTCCTCTGCATTTTTCCAGGTTAGGAGAGGAGCAGTAAGAAGGCAGGGGAAGGACAGGAGCATAAGCAGGAGTAACATTTTCCAGACGCAGCCATGGTGAGCAGTTAGATCCCATTGATTTGAAGTAAATGTGTCCCAAAGTCTGAAAATCAGTGTGTAACTTTAAGAACTCTCAGTACTGAAACACATATTTTCTGCATTTAAGTAAACTTTTTTGAGTTTTAATGAAAAATATTATGATTTTATGTGTGTACAACTGCTGTGTTTGCTAGTCATGTGCTGGCTAGCATTTTTATGTGCAAAATTAGCTAAACTGAAACATGTGGTAAAGTAAAATGAACAGAATTAATGCACAGGGTAATTCAAAGCAAAAGGATTTTAAAAGGATTTTGAAGGATTCCAAAATGTGTTTTCAACTCTGACTTTGAATCAATTTGGCAAAATGATCCATATATTCCCAACTGTTTGGGCTCTGTTTCTGTGCTTTCAGTGCAGTTTCCCAATGCAGTTCTGAGCTATGTTCTCCATTCCTGTTTTGAGTTTTCATGTTTTCTGGACTTGCCTAGTTTTCAAATTTTGAATATGGATTTGCCTGCATTGTTCCTTCCAACACATCGTTGCTGTCCAAAGAAAAACATGTATCTCATTTTTGCTGATTTTTAATTTCCTAAACCATTTGAACACAGCAGGACCAACCAAAATGCTCCAAAATCGTTTGGAATAAAACCATTTTTACATTAACTTCCTTAAAAGTTAAGAACATTTTTGCCTTCTCCAGTAAAGATGCTATTTTAGAGATATCATTTTTATAGACAGTGACAAAATGTTTTGACCCCTGCCTGATAGTGCTGTCAAAACATACCAAAAATTACAGTTTATAATTCCTTCAAAAAAAAACACACACAGGTTCGAACTGGTGAAAATATCTATTTGTGAGCATGTCCATGTGAGGGCAAACCAATACAATGAGAGACATAACTACCTGTATATTTATTTCAACATAAACATGCTTTTTAAACGACCTACATACCTACAAATCACAAAATAAACAAATAAAATAATCAGGTTACAGTATATAGAACAGACATTCAAAGCTCCGAGTGAGCTGTGCTGTGATAAACATGGAACAACAATTATTTTTTCCTTGACATGAAATGGGAAATAAAACCACACCACTGGGCACCTGCACTATTGTTGTGCTCCAGATAGCAGGCTTGTGACAGGCGGTGTACAATATGAATTGAGCTGTGGCTGTTTGAGTTGAGTTCTGGATGGCAGGCCATGCTCATTTGGGTGTATACTTTTGAGATGTGCCTAAGGCTGCTAGTGAACTTGCCATCTACTGACCAAAATCTGTAAGCATTTCTAAATGGAGCTTTTTAGATTTTTGAGAGTGCAAATCACTCTCCATGACCAAGTTGGGTTGTGAACTCTTTGACATTGTTATCACACGGTTGTTGTTGAATTATTCGCTTGTATCAGCTTGACCCACATTTCATTTTCAATCAATGAAAGTGACATTGTGTGACTCCTGTTCATCACATAATGCACTGAGTGCTTGTGAGGCAGACAGCCACAGTAGTGCTGTTTATTTTCCATAATCAAATGTTAATTTTCACAATCAAATGTCTGTTTTATAATTTGATTACATAATTGAATTTGGTATATTCGTGGACAGTACTACTGCCTGTTGTGGTGACTGAAACACCAAGTCTCAATGTTCCATATATTACAATAGTAGCCAGCATCACATACACTCTGCTTTTTGGTGATTGTTTTAACAGCAGCACTGAGCTTTGTTATCATACCTCATGGATAAAATAGACTTTGGCTCCAACATAAATCCCCATCCTGACAACAGCCCTTACTGCTGCATTCATTCCTGGAGAGAGAGAGAGAGAGAGGTGGGTGTTTTGACTAATTTCTGGTAGCAGCCGCAACAAATGAAAAGAAAAATTATTTTAAAGGGCCTATATCGTAGAAAACTGATTTTCCTTCACTTTTTCAATAAAAGAGATTGATGTAGTATATACAGTGCTATGAAAAAGTACCTTTTTGTCAGTGTGTTTCAGATCTTCAAACTACTTTTAACGTTAGACAAGAGAGATTCAAATACAGATGCGAAACAAAGTCACTGACATCTACCAGTTTGAAAATGGTTACAAAGCCATTGCTAAGGATATGGGACTGAGAGCCATTATTCACAAATGGAGAAAACTTGGAACAGAGGTGAACCTTCCCAGGAGTGGCCGATCTACCAAAATCATGAAGAGTGCTTTGACGACTCATCCAGCATGTCAAAAGAACTCAAACATAACTCTAAAGAACTGCAGGCCTCACTTGCCTCAGTTAACGTCAATGTAAACGATTCTGCAATAATAAAGACACTAGGTAAAAATGGCATCCACGGGAGAGTTGCAGGGCGCAAACCACTTTTGACCAAAAAGAACATGAAGGCTCACCTCACATTTGTCAAAAAACATCTAGATGACCCCCAAGACTTTTGGGATAATATTCTGTGGAGTCAAAGGTGGAACTTTTTGAACGACATGGGTGCCGTTACGTGTGGCATAAAGCTAACACAGCTTTCCACCTAAGAACATCATACCAACAGTAAACATGGTGGTGGTAGTGTGATGATCTGGGGCTGCTTTGCTTCTGCAGGACCTGGATGACTTGTCATAATTGATGGAACCATGAAATCTGCTCTCTATTAGAAAATTCTGAAGGAAAATGTCTGCCCATCACCTAAAGCTCAAGCGCAGTTGGGTTATGCAGCAGGACAATGATCCGAAGCATGCCTCTGAATGGCTCAAAAGAATATTTGAATGAATGTTTATGTTCAATAAAAGTAATGATCATTTATAAGCTACACTTTTTGTTTACTGGTGTTGTCTTTATCTTACATTAAAATTATTTGGATGATCTGAAACATTTAAATGTGACAAATTAGCAAAAATAGAAGAAATTGGATAAGGGGCAAATACTTTTCACAGCACCGTAAACACTGCTAAAGTTTCGAAACATACCGTTTACTCCCCAGTCTATATGGTTAATATGTAGAAGCTGAATTGCATAAACAGCCTAAGTTGAATTTATTGTTTCTGTGGCCAATACTTTTACATGTATCTGCCTGCTCAATCTACAAAAGTTTAGCTCCACCCATTCACAATGAAGTGATAAGGTGTGTTTCATCCCAGACTGCTTCTTGAATGAGGCACAATACAGGGCAGCCAAGCAGAATAGGGCTCATTTACATGTAACAGATGTATAGGCACAGGAATAAAAACAGGGACAAAGAGAGAATTTGGAAAATGGTCATGTAAAAATTAATTTTGACTGTTTTTAGTACATAAAACTAGAGGCGGGCGATATGGTAAAAATACAATATTGCAATACTTTAAGAAGTTTTCATGATACATGATATGTCATAATATTTATTTTTTCAGACATCTGATCAGTTGGAACAGAGAAAAAAAGAACCTAAAATGTAGTGCTACATTTTAAAAAATAATATCAAAAACTGTGAATATAATGATTTTTGTTCAATATTTGGGATACTGTGTTGCACTAAATCCAGTTAAACAGGACTAAATTTGCTCTCTTTATAATGAAACACGTAGTTGGTCAGTGTTCTACAAGTACAATATACAAGGTGTGTTCAGAAAAGTATATTGTATTGTATTATGACATCATTGCGATAATTATATATACATAAATATTACCCAGCCCTATATAAAACCACAAAAAAGAGAGAAAAATAAAATGCAAAAAAGAAAAAATGTAGGTCATGGACTCTTTAAAATGTGACAAAATGCTTTTAAAAGAATAGGAACTGATATACAATGGAAAACATTTTTATTTCTCTAGTAAAGGTGGTATTAAGGATAATATAGCATTGACATGTCTTGTATGTGTAAAATCACTTTCAGTAAGAATTTACTTTTTAGCTACGATAGCCTCATAGCTCTAGTGTAAAACTAAAGAAGAAAACAACATTCATGAAGTATTCATATTTTACATTACAGTAATATGGACTGCTATGTCCACATTACTTTTTTACTTACTGTTGTTTTTTTTAGTGATTATTTAAAAACAGTGATTTTTTTGTAGTATACGAATGGAAGTCAACTACTTTCAATGAAGTGATCTAAAAAAATTGCGTTTCAGTCAGATAAATATGGTTTTCAACACTTGAGAAAAAGAGACAAAGCCAAGTTATGTTGGCTGTTGAAATATGTTTTCATTGGAAATAATATATTATATAATATATAAACACTTTTATTTTTTAACAATCTCTCACTGTAAACAGACATATTAGTCAATGTTATTATCACATAAAATACAGGTTTATTGATTTAATTCTGGTTGAAACAATTGAGATTGAGTCAAGTCTTAAGATGTTTTTTTAGTAATGCAGGGCAGACCGCTCTAGTGATGTGGGCCTGACTGTTGTAGTGATGCAGTGATGACTGCTGTAGTGATGCAGTGATGACTGCTGTAGTGATGCGGGGCTGATTGCTGTAGTGATGCGGGGCTGACAGCTGTAGTGATGCATGGATGACTGCTGTAGTGATGCATGGCTGAAAGTTGTAGTGATGCAGGGATGACAGCTGTAGTGATGCAGGGCTGACTGCTGTAGTGATGCAGGGCTGGCTGCTGTAGTGATGCGGGGCTGATTTCTGTAGTGATGCGGGACTGACTGCTGTAGTGAAGTGGTGTTGACTGCTGTAGTGATGCATGGATGACAGCTGTAGTGAAGTGGGGCTGGCTGCTGTAGTGAAGTGGGGCTGACTGCTGTAGTGAAGCAGGGCTGACGGCTCTAGTGAAGCAGAACTGACTGCTGTAGTGATGCGGGCTGACTGCTGTAGTGAAGTGGGCCTGACTGCTTTGGTGAAGCGGGGCTGACTGCTGTAGTGATGCAGGAATGACCGCTGTAGTGATAAGCAGCTGTAGTGATGTGGGACTGACAGTTGTAGTGATGCGGGGCTGACTGCTATAGTGATGCGGGACTGACTGCTGCAGTGATGTGGGCTGACTGCTGTAGTGAAGCAGAGCTGACTGCCATAGTGATGCTGAAGCGACTGCTGCAGTGAAGCAGAGCTGACTGCCATACTGATGCTGAACTGACTGCCGTAGTGAAGCAGAACTGACGGCTGTAGTGAAGCGGATCTGACTGCTGTAGTGAAGCAGGGCTGACAGCTGTAGTGAAGCAGAGCTGACTGCTGTAGTGATGCTGAACTGACTGCTGTAGTGATGCGGGGCTGACTGCTGTAGTGAAGCACAGGTGACTGCCGTAATGATGCTGAACCGACTGCTGTAGTGAAGCAGAACTGACTGCCGTAGTGATGCTGAACCAACTGCTGTAGTGAAGCAGAACTGACTGCTGTAGTGATGCTGAACCGACTGCTGTAGTGAAGCAGAAATGACTGCCGTAGTGATGCTGAACCAACTGCTGTAGTGAAGCAGAACTGACTGCTGTAGTGATGTGGAACCGACTGCTGCAGTGAAGCAGAGCTGACTGCTGCAGTGATGCTGGACCGACTGCTGTAGTGATGCTGAACCGACTGCCGTAGTGATGCTGAACCGACTGCTGTAGAAATGCGTGGCTGAATGTTGTAGTGATGCAGGGATGACAGCTGTAGTGATGCAGGGCTGACTGCTGTAGTGATGTGGGGCTGATTTCTGTAGTGATGCGGGACTGACTGCTGTAGTGATGCAGGGATGACAGCTATGGTGATGCAGGGCTGACTGCTGAAGTGAAGTGGTGCTGACAGCTGTAGTGATGCATGGATGACAGCTGTAGTGAAGTGGGGCTGGCTGCTGTAGTGAAGTGGGGCTGACTGCTGTAGTGAAGCGGGGCTGACTGCTATAGTGAAGCAGGGCTGACTGCTCTAGTGAAGCAGTGCTGACTGCTTTAGTGAAGCGGGGCTGACTGCCGTAGTGATGCAGGAATGACCACTGTCGTGATAAGCAGCTGTAGTGATGTGGGACTGACAGTTGTAGTGATGCGGGGCTGACTGCTATAGTGATGCGGGACTGACTGCTGCAGTGATGTGGGCTGACTGCTGTAGTGAAGCAGAGCTGACTGCCGTAGTGATGCTGAAGCGACTGCTGTAGTGATGCTGAACTGACTGCTGTAGTGAAGCAGAACTGACTGCCATACTGATGCTGAACCGGCTGCTGTAGTGATGCTGAACTGACTGCTGTAGTGAAACAGAGCTGACTGCCGTACTGATGCTGAACCGGCTGCTGTAGTGATGCTGAACCGACTACTGTAGTGAAGCAGAGCTGACTGCCGTAATGATGCTGAACCGACTACTGTAGTGAAGCAGAGCTGACTGCCGTAATGATGCTGAACCGATGCTGTAGTGATGCAGGAATGACCGCTGTAGTGATAAGCAGCTGTAGTGATGTGGGACTGACAGTTGTAGTGATGCGGGGATGACTGCTATAGTGATGCGGGACTGACTGCTGCAGTGATGTGGGCTGACTGCTGTAGTGAAGCAGAGCTGACTGCCATAGTGATGCTGAAGCGACTGCTGCAGTGAAGCAGAGCTGACTGCCATACTGATGCTGAAATGACTGCTGTAGTGAAGCAGAACTGACGGCTGTAGTGAAGCGGATCTGACTGCTGTAGTGAAGCAGAACTGACTGCCATACTGATGCTGAACTGGCTGCTGTAGTGATGCTGAACCGACTGCTGTAGTGAAACAGAGCTGACTGCCGTACTGATGCTGAACCGGCTGCTGTAGTGAGGCTAAACCGACTGCTGTAGTGAAACAGAGCTGACTGCCGTACTGATGCTGAACCGGCTGCTGTAGTGATGCTGAACCGACTACTGTAGTGAAGCAGAGCTGACTGCCGTAATGATGCTGAACCGACTACTGTAGTGAAGCAGAGCTGACTGCCGTAATGATGCTGAACCGACTGCTGTAGTGAAGCAGAACTGACTGCTGCAGTGATGCTGAACCAACTGCTATAGTGATGCAGGACCGACTGCTGCAGTGATGCGGGCTGACTGCTGTAGTGAAGCAGAGCTGACTGCTGTAGTGATGCTGAACCGCCAGCTGTAGTGATGCGGGGCTGATTGCTGTAATGAAGCAGAGCTGACTGCCGTAGTGATGCTGAACTGACTGCTGTAGTGAAGCAGAGCTGACTGCCGTACTGATGCTGAACCGCCAGCTGTAGTGATGCGGGGCTGATTGCTGTAATGAAGCAGAGCTGACTGCCGTACTGATGCTGAATCGACTGCTGTAGTGATGCAGGGCTGACTACTGTAGTGAAGCAGGGCTGACTGCTGTAGAGATGCGGGGCCGACTGCTGTAGTGAAGCAGAGCTGACTGCCGTAGTGATGCTGAACCGACTGCTGTAGTGAAACAGAGCTGACTGCCGTAATGATGCTGAACCGACTGCTGTAGTGATGCTGAACCGACTGCTGAAGTGAAGCAGAACTGACTGCCGTAGTGAAGCAGAACTGACTGCCGTAGTGATGCTGAACCGACTGCTGTAGTGATGCTGAACTGACTGCTGTAGTGATGCTGAACCGACTGCTGTAGTGAAACAGAGCTGACTGCTGTAGTGATGCTGAACCGACTGCTGTAGTGATGCAGGGCTGACTGCTGTAGTGATGCTGAACCGACTGCTGTAGTGAAGCTGAGTTGACTATTGCAGTGACGCTGAACTGACAGCTAGTGATACCAAACTGACTTTTAATCTGATATGAAGCAGACCAATGTAATGATGCAGAGCTATCTGCTATAGTGATTCTGAGCTGACTGCTGTAGTGATGTGGAGCTGATTGCTATTATGATGCTGAACTGACTGATGTAGTGATACAGAGCTGAACACTGTAGTGAAATTGAATGGACAGATGTAATGATGCAGAGCTAACTGCCATGGTGATGCTGAGCTAACCTCTGTGGTGATGCTGAGCTAACCTCTATGGTGATGCTGAGCTGACCAATGTAGTGATGCTGAGCTGAGCGCTGTAGTGACGCAATGTGGCGTGGCAGGATACAGCACTGCTACTTGACTCTCCTCACGTACTCGCACTGCCTGCTCAACGCGCACGCGCGCTTTACCCGGCGGCACAAATTCTCTGGGGGCTTCCGCACTAACAGCTGCATCACAAACTCTCTGAAAAACAGACTGGACTGCCGTTCTGACAGAATGACTGTGACATTCATTTCAATCATCCCTTCGTATTTCATAAATACATCACATGCATTTTACTAATCTAATTTTCATTCTTTATACTCAGTTCAGCAAACTGATTCTGGAAACAGCAAACATTAGACTATACTTCACATTTACTATTAGCAGGACTGCAGACAAAAAAAACTCTTTACACAGAATATAAACTCATTTCTACAACTGGAATGGAAAGAAAAAACTATTTATTAAGTAAAAAAATCAGAATTAATCAGAATTAAGAATAAGACCAATTTCTCAGGTACACACTTACAAAAGATGGTTCTTCAAGGATTCTTTAAAAAGGGCAATGGTTCTATTTAGACCCATTCTATAGAGAGCCATTTTAAGCTTAAATGGTTCTTTACATGGTGAAATGGTTCTTCAGACTGATGGTGTTCTGCTAGTGTTACGATGTCAAGCTTGTAGCAAGAACTCTTTTTGGTGCTATACAGGACCATTTTTAAAAAGGTTATATAGAACCATATACAACACATTCTGCATCATTCAACTTATGGTTCTAAATAGAACCATTGCCTTTATTAAAGAACCACTGAAAACCAGTGCGTAGAAGTAGGTAGAATGGAGATATATAGTAATTTATCAAACAGAATGGAGAGTAATAGCCATTAGTACATAACGTAGCGTCACTGAAGCTGTGCCTAATTAGTTTAAGTGAAGTGTTGGCTGGCAGCACATCTGGACAAATGAAGGGACATCTGTTGCACCTTAGCTTTTCATGAGAGTTCAGCACAGCATTGGAGAGAAAATTATATTTAGGTCAATCTTGGACTCCTCGCATTCCTCTACTGGAAACGAGCGGCCGGTGTGTGCAGGCTAATCCGGTTATAGCCGCTCACCTTGAGCATCTCCGCCGCTCGTCAGCACGCCGATAGACTTTCCTGCTCCGGAAAGATTCTCGAAGAATTTTTTCGAGTCCGGCATCGTTCAGGCGAAGCTTTCTCCCACACGAGGTGTTGTTCCTGATACGGACTGCTCAACACGACAGCGATTATTGCTGGCTGTTCGAAAAGGACAAGAATTCGGACCGCTTTTTATTACAGTTGTTTCTCTCCCTCACCCGTATTCCGACAAACCCCGCCTTCTGCCCCCCTTGATTGGTTAGTAGTTTGTAACTGGGATTGGACGGACTGCTTGTGAGCCTCAGAGCCTGAATCTTCCAGCTAATCAGGTCGAAGGATCTGCGGTGGGTCGGAAAACGGGTGGGAAAAATGACGTTAGACTGACTGACAGCTCCAATGGCCAATAGGCTTACAGATCACGTCTTCTGTAGACAAAATTGGACCAATTGAAGTCATAATGCTAGGATCAACGGGGACGTGCTGCAGGCTATTTGTTTATTAGTTAGTAACACGTTACAGGCGATCTATGCATATATTATCGTAAAGAGCTAGGTGATACACACCATATGGGTGTATTTTTTCATCAGAAATTGAAATTAAATAAAGAACTTGTCAAGGTCAACATGACGTCAATGCAACTAGTTAATTTGTACGTGAATGTTAAAAATAAGGACATATTACCCACAAACGTATAGCTTATATATGTATGATCTATATATAGCCATGACATACAGTATATAACACTGCCTGTATATGCTATTTTTTTCTCAAATGTACAGCTTGATTCTGTTTGACAAATGACCTTCCTCCTGGGTGTGTGTGTGTGTGTGTCCCTATCCTCATCTGGCTCTATTTATTCTGCTTTATCCCTGTTAGTGGGAAAAGGAGACTATCTAGTAGCAATAGTAGTAGTAATAGTAAGAGAACGAGAAAAGGCGAGACACAAGTAAGGAAAGAAGAATAAAGCTTAATAAATATGAGCAGTTGTACACAGACACACCCTTACTGTAAGTGTCATTGTCCATTGTGTTGTGTGTCAGGCAGATGAAAAGTGCAGGGTGCACTCCTGCTGTCTGCACTGTTTACAGCCAAATCCTCACCCTGTGTCTGGGGAGAGAAAAGGGGAGGGAGGGCTGGTTTATATTGGGATTGTGTTACTTCTCAGGCTGCTGCTGCTTGCTGCTCCTGAGCTCAGTATCAGCCTTATTCTAAAGGGTTGATAGGTGTGGATAGGCCAGTACGCAAAATAAAAATGTTTGGGTATTTTTTCATGTTATTGCCTGTTTATTCCTGCAGAGTCTCAGGCCTCAGTCCCCTATCTCAAGCATTCATTTATTTATGTATTTTCATTTCTTTGACTTTTAATAATAGCATCATACTGTTGCATATTTTGGGTGTTTTTTGAAAGTGTTAAATGTTAACATTACAGCCATTGGTTTTTTAAAGGTTATAATGTTTGGGTCAAAGCCATAATTTTTTCATTTGCATCTATACTTCATGGTTTAAAATGTGTACTTAAACCATTCACATGTGGTTAAAGTGCACATTCTCATAATATTATGATTTTATAATATTTAATATTATAATTTTTTAAATACATTTTAGCTTTACCATGTTACAGCACCTTTTATACATACATGCATTCATATATACCTACATATATAGGTTTACATTTCAAGGCAACATAATGTCTGGGACATAGGGCTTCACAGATGTTTGTAATCACTCAGGTGTGTTTAATTGCTTCATTAGAGCAGGAATAAGAGAGCTTTGAGCATCTAGTCTTGATTCTAGGCTTGTTCAGGACTATCATAAAACAATGTTTCAGGTATCAAGCAGTATATCTACAACCATTCTTTCTAGTAGTTCAGTGATAGGTAACCAGAGGCATTAAATGCTGATATCTGGTCTCTGTCACCACCACTGTGATAACAAATCTAACAAGTCTGAAATTTCTCTAGAAGGGAGTATTATTCATGAAAACCACTCAAATTGTAGTGGGGGTTGAATAAAAGAGTATAGGAGGACCTACACACGGTACTAACACACACACAACAAAACAGTAAAAACTACCTTTGAAACTGGAGCAATTTGAAAATATGTAAATATGTTGCCCTCATGTGGCCATCCGCAGCTATTACAACTGCTGTTGCCGTCCAGAACATTTAACCATTGTGTTTTGTGCTTAATAAAAAAAAATACAAGACAATTTAATCTGTCCTTTCTTTCTGCGAGCTCTTCTGTCAGTGCTTTGTCCTTTCGGAGGTTAGCAGTGTTTATCTGTATCTGTAACCGACTGTATGGTTCCCTGTAGTCTCCAACAGGTTAAATGCAGTCTTCCGCTCTGGCGGTTGCCATAGTGACCCTAACAAACTCAAACTCAAGCATGGTCCGCAGTAAGTGTGTTTTCGTGTCTATTACACTGATAATGTAACGAAAGTTATCAAACATTTCAGCATGTCTGAATTACTAGCTATATATTGCCTGTAATAACAGACACCTTCAGACTTCCGTTGTTTGCTAAATTATTGACAAGTCTACTTTGCTGGTAACGTTAGCTAACTGGTTGGTTGGCAAGCAGAAGTGGCTAAGTAGGCTAGGTTAGGTAGCTTAACTGTTAACTTGTTAACCTAGCTAACAGTAGCGGAGTTGTTGACAGCGCATTGTTAGTTAGCTCACAGGGAAATTTAGCTATTAGAGGTTTATTCAGTCAGCCAAGTTCAAAATTGACATTTGTTTGTGTTTGCAGAAATAAAGCATTCGAGGCAAAAAGTGCGGAGGAAACATGGTTCTAAGTTCGTAAAGAGTTTTGCTCAGGTCGATGTCGTCACCTATGACTGTGTACTGATCAAACGTAGCCACATAGCTAGCTATTATGTAGGTGCAATACAGTCCACAGTATTGCTTAGGTCCTAGATAAATTCGCGAAAAGTTAATGACAGGATAGCTAAAATTGCATGAAATATTGGAGAAGAAAAGTTATAGTAAGCATAAAGAACCCCCCCTCTCTTTACTTTTTTATATATGTTTTTCGTGCATATTTTATGTTTTTTTACGGTAGTTATATATTTATCATAAAAATGCAACTTAATCACAACTTATTAATGAAAAATGAAATTCAACTAATATACATTTGGGAAATATAACAAAAGTTGTAGCTGCTTAGGAGGAGGCATACTTTACTACAAGTGATTTTATGTTTGTATATCTAATAATGAAGAATGATAGGTTAACAAATTTAGCACATTTCTCTGACCATCCTTTAGAGCAGGAGGGTTTCATCCACAGAGGCTGGTGCGGCTGCAGGTTTTCATTTCAATCCAACAGGAGTACATCTGATTCTACTTGTTCTTTCACTTAAATTAAAACAGTTGATTGAGAGCTTTGTTGGAATGAAAATCTATTGCAACACTACTGCTTTAACGAGTGGAGTTCTGCTGATCTGCGTTTGCAGACTGTTCTCAGATGTTGTTGATGAAAGAACGTTTTCAAAATACATATTGAAATATACTGTATTGTCTGATTGAGAAAATGTTGCTTTGGTCATTTTTGAATGTTTTGTTAATAAAAAAACAAAGAACTTGAACATCCAGCTGATGTCCAATTTAGAACCACTTGAACTGTGGTTACAGTTGCCCTGGTCAGTAACGTGATTGGGTACTGGGTATTCAGAAGTAAAGATGAGGAGGGTTTTACCACTCTTTGAAAGACTGCACGATCAAATTGTGCAACAATTCAAGAATAACATTTCTCAACATAAAACTGCAAAGAACTTTTGCTTTTCATAATCTACAGTACATAAAAACTCAGAGAATCTGGAGAAATCTCTGTATGCAAGGGACAAGGCTGAAAAACAGCATGTGGCCCTCAGGCCCTGCATTAAAAACAGACATGATTCTGTAGTGGAAATCACTGCATGAGCTCAGAAACACTTCTGAAAACCACTGTCTGTGAACACAGCTCATCACTGCAACCACAAATGCAAGTTAAAACTCTAAAATGCAAGTAAGAAACCATATATAAACAGGATCCAGAAATGCTGCCACCTCGTCTGGGCAGAGCTCATTTAAAACGGACAGAGGGGAAGTGGAAAAGTGTTCTGTTGTCCAACAAATCAACATTTTAAATTCTTTTTGGAAATCATGGACACTGTGTCCTCTGGGCTAAAGACCACTCAGTTTGTTATTAGCGCACAGTTCAAAAGCCTATATTCATAATGGCTTATGGTGTGCATTAGTGCACATGGCATGGGTGACTGGCACATCTGTGAAGGCACCATTAATGCTGAATGATAAATACATGTTTTGGCCACATATGCTGCCATCCAGACGACGTCTTTTTCAGGGAAGGCCTTGCTTATTTCAGCAAGACAATGCCAAACCACATGCATGTATTACGACAGCATGGCTCTGTATTAAAAGAGTCTGGGTGCTAAACTGGCCTGCCTGCAGTCCAGACCTGTCACCACTGAAAACATTTGGCCTATTATGAAATGAAAAATATGACAAAGGGAACTCTTAACTGTTGAACAGTTGAAATCCTATGTCAAACAAGAATGGGAAAACATTTCACTTTCAAAACTACAGCAGTCGATCTCCTCAGTTCCCAAACGCTTACAGTGTGTTGTTAAAAGAAGAGGTGATGAAACACAGTAGTAAACATGCCCCCGTTCCAACTTTTTTGGAACATGTTGTTGTCAAATTCAACATGGGCATATACATTAAAAATATGATTTACATGATTTGCATTCTATTCATTTTGCATTTCATTACATTCTGTTTTTATTTACATTCTGCACAGTGTTCCAGTTTTTTTTTTGGAAATGGGGTTGTATTTTCCAACCTTGTCTGCAAAACCAAAATTCTTTTTCAGTCACTGAGGATCTTATCCGGCGTCGCGCTGAGCACAACAACTGTGAGATCTTCTCTCTGGAGGAGGTGTCACTGCATCAGCAGGATATTGAGCGAATAGAGCTCCTTGACAAGTGGTGCAGAGATCTGAAAATCCTCTACTTACAAAACAACCTCATCCCTAAAATAGGTATGGAATCAAAGTCTGCTCATTAATCAAGCATAAAGCTATCATGACCATAATGTAACACACGAACACATTTCATGGGTTTACACAGTTAATTGAAGCACTTCATATTGCCATGATATAGTGTGGTGAACATGTGGTAACTGTTTAATCTGATGGCATTTTATGTTTCTCTAGAGAATGTTGGAAGACTGAAGAAGCTGGAGTATCTGAATCTGGCCCTGAATAACATTGAAGTGATTGAGAATTTGGAAGGTAAAATCCTCTAGTCCATTTTACACTCTTTTTTATGTGACTTACCATAGGCTATGACTAATGTCTGCGGAATGGCTTAGATTCAGGTTCTGGTTGAACATGTGCACAAAAAGTCAGTATGTATGGCATATATGGAGTACTGTGCACCATGTACAGTCTTAGGCACCTAAGCACATTGTTTAAAGCAATTAATCTTGGCCGCTTTTGCTTGTCAAAACACCATACATCATTAGAACAGATGCAAATAAACAAATAAAGTATAGTAAAAAGTAGAAAGAATGTCCTATTCTGAAAAAAAGCTAGTTGATATCTTGAAAGTTAGTTTGAAGAACAAAGTTGCATGGATTTATTAACTTTCATCACCAGTGCACTTGACCCATAAACATTTCAGACTGACATACAGTACTGTGCAAAAGTCTTAGGCACCTTATTTAAAACAGCTTATCTAGGCAATAAGTGTGTTTTGGTTTGTAAAAACACCATATAAAGTTTAATAAATGCAAACGATTTTTTTATTGGTATTTCTGAACAAATAAACTCTCACTGATCAGATAAATAGGTTTTCAAATATGATTTTCTCAGGTGACTTTAATGTAACACTTTTCTTGCACCATGCAACATCACATTGACATAACCATGGCGTAAATGTGCCATGGCAGATGTCATATGCTGTAACATGTTGTCATGTCAGCTTATGTCCAATAATATAGCAGTGTCATGCTACCAATATTAACAATTGTAATGACAGTTTTATTGTAATATGTGATGTTTCATAACAAAATTAGCATGACATAAGCTGTCATGACATCAGTCATGATGATTAGTCACAATGATAAAATGACAGCGTATGATATCTTCTGTGACATGTTTATGGCTTGGTTATGTAAATTTTCTGTAGCAAGGTTCATGTCATGTTCACAGAACTGTATTCGTCATATTTGTTTTTGCGTCTATATATGCATATATAGGCTGTGAAAGTCTGAAGAAGCTGGACCTTACAGTGAACTTTGTGGGTCTGCTGAGTAGCGTGGAGTCCCTGAAACATAACGTGCATCTGCGGGAGCTCTACCTGGTGGGGAACCCCTGCACTGAGTTCCAAGGTTACAGGCAGTATGTGCTGGCCTGTCTGCCTCAGCTACAGGTATTGCAGGGACACACACAGCTAGGTAGAGAAGGGGGAGGTTTCTTTATATTCCAGCAGGGATTCTCTGCTCTACTACAACTGATTCAGCTGATCAGTTAACCCTCTGGGGTCTAAGGGCATTTTCTCGATTTTGGCATATCTTCTTAAATTCTCCTATAATGGCACTTGCATGTAACATAATACCCATATGTTTCGTATCGAATTGCTCTGTTGTGTTTGTTGCTACTTTCCAAAATCGTTGCAGCAGCTGTAAACTCTTTGCACGCCATTTCACAGATGTCAGTGTCTCCAATGTCGACTTAATGAAGAATGAAAGGTTTCCGACTGACAGCCTTGATTTCCTGAATGTTGCATTGGTCAGTTTCACACAGAGTGTAGATGGACACACAAATCCACTAATTAGACACAGTGAAAGGCAGATGATGTTTATCTCAAACCCTCTTCATAGCCTTATAACTCCGGATGTGAGTATGATCTCGCTATAAAATCGACTTAAGGGCAGATTCTACAGAGTCAGGACATGTTTGAACTGTATTTTTGTGCAGTATTATCACAAAGATACAGAAACATATATGGAAAAATTTAATTTGACACACCGGTGACTGCGTGGACCCCAGAGGGTTAATTTGGAAGGTGTGTAAAATCAGATCTCATCTAGTCACACTAGTAACACATTTTAGTAAAAAGAGTAAATTGAATGGAAGCTTATACAGATGCAACACATGTTAATGCAAGGTGTAAACCAGCTCTGTGTATGGCTGTTAGACATACAGACCTTGCTTCTGGCCATAAATGTAGAAAAGTACATACAGTATGTATCTAAAGGGGCTGTGTTTTTGGCAATTTATGACTGAATCTTCTGGTTGGAACTTCAAATGGTCCATAATGTCCAAGTTTACAAGAAAATGCTGAAATTACTCTGGTAAACTTTGTTAAGTTTCATGTTACCTGAGTTTTGACGTGTCACCAGCCAGTACATTCCAACTGAGCAGACCAAGGTAATACTGGTCACTCTCAGAGAATATATACATTGTTCACATGATAAATTTACCATTTGCTGAAGACTACCCGAACACGACAACTAGTAGGTACAATTTGGACCCATGACAATTTTCTGACTTTTAAGAGTTGATGAGCACACCATTAGATATTGAAGGTCTCACTGTGGTGTTTTTTGGCTGCATTGTGTTCTGTTGTGCTTTCCAGTGGTTGGACGGCACAGCAATAGGGCGAGCGGAACGGATACGGGCACTGCAGGACCTGGATGGCCTGAGGAGGCGTGTCTTGCAACAGGAGACTGAGTATTTGGAAAAGAGAGAAAAGCAGAAGAAGAAAGAGCAAAAAAAGACCACACACAGCAACCCCCAGGATCTAGATCATAAAGAGCTCAGTAGCAACTTGTGAGTATGATGCAATGCATAACTCAACAGATGAGAAAACTACTTTTGTCACAAATATAGGGGCAGATTTACCAGCGTTTTGCACTAATCCTATTTCAGCAGTAAAAAGTAACTATTGTGATTTTCTGAACAAGGGCAACAACTATTTAGCACCCATAATAAGATAAAAGGGTAAGTCACTGCTCTTTTGCCTCATTGGATATGCATTTATAGGACTTTCTCCCATTATCTACTCCAATTTAGCAAGACTTACATTAATACTGACTGTGTGCTGTTTACTGCCTGTAAAAAACTTATCTCATTTTTTGTGTTTGTCTTAGAGACAGAGAAAAGGGAGAGTTTTGAAATATATTTATTTATTTCTGATAGAAAAAACATTGTCTGCTATGACATATTATTTTTTATAAAAAAAATATAGATGTTTTAAACTGCTATGTTTGAATACTTTAGGTTTCTTTCACGCTCATCGGATTTTCTTAAGAGTAGTTTTTTCTTAAATAATGCTTTGATAGTTTTCTTTTCAAAATAATTATTAAAAGTGCACATTAAAATTCTTTTGGCTGTGCAGTCTCTGCATTACTAAAGCTACTGGTTACTTTGTTACTTTGTGTTACTTTATGTGTGCTGTGACATTCTTAGCATGTCAGTAAAAATGCAATTATAGCATGTGCAAAAGGTGTTGCTTAAGTATAAATGCTCTCAAAGAAGCATTTACTTGTGTTCTCTGTGGCTAAAGTTAAAGTCAATATGTACTGTTCTACCTCAAGTGTACAACTCAGGATATTAAAACACAGAAAAATTACAGAGAAAACATTTGATTTTGTTTGGTGATGTTGACTGTTGGCTGTGAATTCCCAAGCACATGAAAATGCTAGTTACACAGTGCATTCAGATGGTTTGGATTAACAAAATGACAGCTAAATTTGGCATGATGTCCTGTGGTAAAATTACGTTATCACACCTCACCATGCAAAAAGTAATCCCATCTCAATAGTGCTTAAGTCAAAGTAATGAGAAGATAAATCAGTATTTCAGCTTAGTCACAGTTTGGACCTGAAACAAAGGAAGATTAAAAAAAGTTCCTCCCTGGTGGAAACCTGGCTTTCCTGAAAAAAGCTTGTGAGCCAAACATGGGTTTATATTGTTAAATGGTCGTATGTGAATTACAAAGTTGCATCTTTGTTCATTTACATGGAATTTATTAGTAGATATTGTACTAAACTGGCAGTAGGCTGTCAGTAAGTAGCATCTCTTTAGTCAGTCTGCCCCATAGTTTAGAAAAACAGGCATGCAGGACAATTGCACCTCCTGGTGGACAGAAACTTTCAGATAGCAGAAATATTTATTTCAAGTCTTTGCCTTTAACAGCCATGTTTGTGAGTTGAATTCTCAAATATTTGTGTTTCAGCTCAGACGAAGCCATGGAGAACAGGTACCAAGATTCTACTGCTGAGTCTGAGTACTCGCCAGAACAAGACCAAAACCTAGCCTTAAACTCACATTCAGAAGAACAGGAGAGGGAATTCTGGGAAAAACCTTGTGCCTTTACTCCAGAGTCAAGACTGGAGGCACATCACTATCTAGAGGAAAAGAAGAGAGCAAAAGAGAGACAGAGGTACACCAATCTTTGGAATGGGGTGGTGGTGAGGGTGGGCACACTTTTGGAGAGAAAGAGTGGTGTAGTTCTGAAGTAAGTAAAGAAGTAAATATTGTGAAGCGGTATAAGGAATTTTGCCTGCATTTATATGTGTAACAATAATATTAACTTTATAAGTAAGGCTATTATTATTATTATTATTATTATTATGAGCACATGACAAGCACCCTGGTGGCAGATTTTAATCATTAAAGGAGATATCACCAGTAAATGTATCTCAGACAATAAATTTAATTAAAAGGTGTTTCTTGTGTACAGGAACAGTAAAAAAATCCTAGGCTTATTACATACTAAGGCTTATTATTCAGTAACTACAGGGACTTCAATGCAAGGTATTCTTAGGTTATGTGTGTAATAAAACTTCGGGCCCACTGACAGGCCCTGGCTATTTAAGGGGTTAAACGCCCATAAAATACAAGTTATTCATTTTTCGATGTCAGGAAAAAAGCAGAAAACATATATTTCACAGAAAATTACACAGAAGCCTTGACTCCGCTCTTTGCCTTTTCTACAATCCAGTGGCCAGTTATTTTTTCTGGGAACACCAGCTGCTTTATCTTCAGTCCATAAAACCTTCCTCCACACCGCAGATGTCCAGTTTCAGTTTTTTAGTGGAGATATTTTTGTCTATTCCTTTTTCTTAGCTTCTTGACATTTTTTCAAACCTGTAGTGCTAAGCTGTCTTCTCACAGTTGTAAGATTCATCTCTCAAAGATGAAAGCATTAAGTACTGTTTACCTGATGGGGACAGTTTTGGTCTACCAGGTCTTGCATGGTTGTGAGGAGTCCCATTTTCTCTGTATCTTGTCATATTTTTTTGAACTCCAGTTTTTACTTATTTTCTTCTCTTTTACTTACTTTCCCTTTCCCTATAGAAGTGAATTATCTTGTATGTAATCTCCTGAAAAATGAATAACTTGTACTTAATTGCTGTGTTGACTGGACATTTAATAAATTAAGGGTGGTCTCTGACTTTTGCACAGCAGTAGAAGAAGAGGCTGTCTTCTGCAGTGTTCACATTTTAACCCCATAGCCACTGCTGCTCCACATTCACCTTATTAATCTCAGGGTGATCATTCCCTCTGTACTAGCAGGGCCTCTAACAAGGCTAACACAGAGCCAGCTTTAATTAAGGGGAATGGTTAATTAAGAGCAACCTTTGCAGCGTCCTCATGACCTCAAATTCTTCAGCGGGGAGGGGTAATTACACTTGTGTACTATTGCTCTGACACTGCATTACACACACACATACACACACACACACATAAATGTGTGGGACAAGAATAAATGACCCAACAAACCCAACAGTAACTCAGACACACAAATGTCATGGTATTCGTGTATATTTGTGTAAATGAGTATTCTGTGGAAGACTGAGAATGCTGCTGGGGTTGGGTAATTTTCACTTTCAAAATTGCTGATAAATCTTCTTTAAATAGATGGGAGATATTAAAATGGTTTATTACCTGTAAGCCTAAAATGAAATAAAGAATAAAAATGAAAGATTGCATTTTTTTTATTTGGCCACATGGTGGCATTGAATAGTTTCCTACAATGCAGACAGTTGAAAACCTGCAGCCATACTGGCCCTTTGAGACTGGACACTCCTTATCTAAAGGCAAAAGTGATATCATTGGTAAAAATTGTTGACATTGTGATGATAAAATTGTCCGGCTGTTTAGAACCTGCTGCTACATACTGTAATTTAGCAATGATGCTTCAGGTCACATGGTGAAGCACTTTTTTTCTGATACAGCAGATTGTCTGTTGAAAGCATGGAACACCACTCTTATCCGCAAGGGGCTGATGTGCCTTTCCAACCAAACAGGAGCAGTCATACTCATATTACTGTTGATATTCATATTGTTTGAAGAATGTGACCAGCTGATTAAACAAGTAAAATCAGGTGTGCTTCTACTTAATCGGAATGAAAATCTACAGGAACGTTAACCTTTTATGGATAAGATTGGTGACCCCTGCTTTAAACCCTTGTTACACACGTTAGCAGATGGCTGCACCCACATATACACTCTCACTCAGTTCTAACCTGTGGTGTTTTGTAGAGAGCCGAAGGGCAAAGCTAAGGCCCCCAGAACTCTGATCACTGCTGAGGGAAAAGTTTTGAACGTTAATGAGGCCAAGTATGTATACACACACACACACACGCATACACACACACACACACACACTGTACTCTACTGTACAGAAACACTCAGAAATCACATCTCTTGCTGTACAATAATAACAATAACAGAAGAAAATCAAACTCAACTTTAATGTTTTCTGCTACAGTTAAACTTTATCACGTCTGTTAAGCACTCAGTATGAAACAATGCTCTATAAATGGAGTTGTTATTATTATTACTACATTAAAATATTGTCATTTCAGACTGGACTTTAACCTCACTGATGATGAAGACAACAACTGTGTGCTTCTGGACTTGCATGTGTACAGGTACACACACATAGAAGATTATTTCACACACACACACACACACACACACACATATATATATATATATATATATATATATATATATATATATATATATCATTATTTGCAGTGTAGAATGTTGTGCCACTCAGGAGGCCATCACCTCAAATAATAATATAAAAATGTGCATCCAGGCCTAGAGCCCCAGAATCATTAGGCCTACCATCTTTGCTATCTTTAGCCTTCATGCCTTTTTTACTGAGTAAATGAAAGTCACACATTAAATTATTTATTTGTTGTATTTGTAGTATACAAAAAGTACTACTGTAGTATTTTTTGTTAGTATTTGTAACTGTAAACACACACACCGTCATGAGATTCTGCTGGTGTGGGGTTTTCTCTCTTTCAATGGTTTTAAAAGGTACATGAGGTGTAGTGTTGTGAACTATATTGAAATTTGATACACTGCTTTGAAAAGTATTAATATTCAGCACTGTGTAGTATTCAATGGCTGGTTGCCGAGCAACATGAACTTTACAATTTTACTACAATGAGAATCAAATTCAGTCTTGAAAATAAAAGCACATGCCAACCACAATATAGCATTACATAGCAATATTTAATGATGAAACATTTTCACTATGATAATGCTAATTTCTGCTTGCATCCCATGTAATTTATGTGTTATGTTAGTGTCAAGCTAGCAGTGATGCTCATGAATATTTTATGGCAGCGTATTGGTATTGATTCAAATTTCCAGAAACAATATGTATCAAAAAATCAGTATTTTTGACAGCAACAATGAGGTACCTGTACGCAGCAGTGGGAAATCATTATATTTTCTTAAACTTACAACCCTGCCAAAAAACTGGGACACTTTCCCTAAGAATACTGTAGCAGGGACAAAGATTTGCTGTAGCATAGCCTAATGGCTTATTAATCCCTCTAGTGTTCGTTATTGTACAAATGTCAGAGACCACCCTTCATTTATTTACTTTGCAGTTAAAAAGGTCATTAATTCTTTTTTGCAGACTTTGCTCTGCAAAAGTAGGGGTGGGCAATATGATGATATTTTATCGCTATCGTCGTACATTATGCCACAATGCATCATGCATATCATCAGTAGTTAAGCAACACTGACTGCATGTTTTATCACAAAGAGAGTATAATAAGTCCTGTTTAATTTTGTTTAGTTCATTGGAGCATGTGAAACATTGAAAAAAAATCACTGTATTCATAGTTTTTCTCTGTATTTTTAAATGTGGCAGTACTGGTTCTGTTTTTTTTCTATTCCAGTTTATCAAACCTCAGAAAAACTAAATATTGTGATACATGTCATATGCTGTGAAAATGTCTTCAAGTATTGTGATTTTTGCCATATAGCCCACCCCTGTTTGCATGAATATTTTTTCCACATCTCCAAAGTTCAGTCTCAGTTGTTGGTGCATTTTCTGCTTCTCACGATCCAAGTAACCCCAAACACATTCACTGATGTTGTCTGTGAATAGACTCTGGAGTAGTTAGTCCATTATTCTGAACACAAGCAGCTTCTTTGCTCAGTTTCTTTTTGTCAGTAACAGCTTCTTAACAGCTACACATCCTTTCACGCCCATAGCATAGTTGTCTTCTCACAGTACAAGGATAGTCAGAAACACCTGTGTATTTTTTCAGATCTGAGGTCTTGTGTGCTTATTAAAAGATACAGAGAAAATTAGGAGAATTTAGTACATCAAGGGTCATTTAGTAAATTAGTAAATTAGGGTAATTTAGTAAATCATGGGTCTCTGACTTTTGCCCAATATTGTAAATATTATTTTATATTATTTGTTAAGGTGTCTAATGCTATTCTTTTTCAACTTGGGTGTTAATACCTGCAAAGGTTTGGAATTGGGTTACTTGTTAATTATTGTCAATATCCAATTACATTGTCATATTGGCCATGTCTTTGTGTTTATGTATGTTGTAACATGTAGTGTTTTGTTTTTTGTGACTGTAGGCATTTGGACACATCCCTTCTAGATGTGGATGTTCAACCTACATACGTTAGAGTGACTGTGAAAAGAAAGGTGCTAAATCCCTCCATAATTATTTCTCCTACATACAGATACATATATATTCATTCATTGATGCACTTTCATACTCACATACACAAGCTCAGTGTTTCTGCACAGCTCTATCATGTTTCCTCCCCCATTTCTCCATTTATTTTTCTCTCCTTCCCTCAATCTCTGATACTCTCCCTCGCTTTCCTCTCCCTCTCTTTCTTTCTCTGATTAGTTTAATGAGTGCTGCTGCTGCAGGTGGTTTGGTCTTTAAAGCTGATTACTCTGCTGTAAATCCACACATGCTCGACCTTTGCATTTTTCCTTCCCTCGCAAATAACCAAATCAGACCTACGCTACTGTGAGTAACAGCCAGAGCTGTGTGGAGGTCTCAGTATTTATGGATGTGGGCTGTATTTGGTTAACTCTGATTGGACAGTGTGATTGATTGTGTTGTATATCACTGCTCAAGTGACATGAGTTTGAATTCCACTTTAAACCTGTGTGTGTGTGTGTGTGTGTGTGCGAGAGTGTGTCTGAGCAAACGTGTGTATAGATCACCTTTACAGCGACAGTTCAGAGTTCAAGGTCTATTAAAATGCTACACACACACCTGAACAATCCACATGGGTGTTGTAATTTCAGCAAGATTGCAGAAAGGTATGAGCTAGGCCTGTGCAGATTAGGTAGCACCAAGTCTCTGACCTGTGTGTGAACTCATACAAATGGGAAAAAATCCAAAAATCTATATTTTCCTGAACTAAGGGCAGACGATTTATGTTCTGCTCATTTGTGACAATTTGTGTTTGCAGTATAGAGGTCTTGCCCCATCCCCCAACCATTTACATTTTGCATCTGCATGCCTTCCCCCAGTCTTTCAGTCTGTTAGAATTCAGATCTAGATACACACTTTATTCGCATATTAATTTATTTACAAACCCATTTCCAAAAAATTTGGGATGCTGTGCAGAATGTAAATAAAAATAGGATGCAATGATAATCAAATCATGGAAACCATATTTTTAAAGGAAAATACTACAAAGACAATATCAAATGAAACTGGGAAATTTTATTGTTTTTTGAAAAATATATGCGCATTTTGAATTTGATGCCAGCAACACATTTCAAGTTGGGACAGGGGCATGTTTACCACTGTGTTTCATCACCTCTTCTTTTAACAAACTCTGTAAGCGTTTGAGAACTGAGGAGACCAACTGCTGTAGTTTTGAAAGTGAAATGTTTTCCCGTTCTTGCTTGATATAGGATTTTAGCTGCTCATCAGTTCGGGGTCGTCTTTATCCTATTTTTCATTTCATAATGCACCAAATATTTTCAGTGGTGACAGGCCTGGACTGCAGGCAGTCCTGTTGTAATACATGCAGAATGTGGTTTGACATTGTCTTACTGAAATAAGCAAAGCCTTCCCTGAAAAAGACGTCGCCTGGATGGCAGCATATGTGGCCAAAACATGTATATATCGTTCAGCATTAATAGTGCCTTCACAGATGTGCACGTCACCCATGCCATGTGCACTAATGCTCCCCTGGACCATCCAGAATACTGGCTTTTAAACTGTGCACTGATAACAAGCTGAGTCTTTAGCCCGGAGGATACAGTGTCCATAATTTCCAAAAAGAATTTCAAATGTTGATTTGTTGGACCACGGGACACTTTTCCACTTCACTTCAGTCCATTTTAAATGAGCTCAGGCCGAGTGAAGGTGGCAGTATTTCTGGATCCTGTTTATCTACAGTTCCTTCTTTGCGTTTTTGGTTTTTAACTTGCATTTGTGGTTGCAGCGACAAACTGTTTTCACAGACAGTGGTTTTCAGAAGTGTTACTGAGCCCGTGTAGTGAGTTCCACTACAGAATCATATCTGTTTTTAATGCAGTGCCGTCTGCAGGGGCCCAAAGATCATGGCCAGCAAACCCTGGTTTTTGGCCTTGTCATTCGCATACAGATAATTCTCCAGATTCTCTGAATCTTTTAATGTTATTATGTACTGTAGATGATGAAAAGCATAAGTTCTCTGCTATTTTACATTGAGAAACGTTATTCTTGAATTGTTGTGAGTTGTGAACCTCTACTCATCTTTACGTCTGAAAGACTCAGCCTCTCTGGGAGGCTCTTTTTATACCCAATCTTGTTACCGACCTGTTGTCAATCAACCACTAGGTGGTTTTAGCATTACACAACTTTACCAGCCTTATACTGCCCCGTCCCTACTTTTTTGGAACGTGTTGTTGGCATCCAATTCAAAATGGACATATATTTTTCAAAAAACAGTACATTTTCAACATTTGATATGTTGTCTTTGTACTAGTTTCAATTAAATATAGGGTTTAAATGATTTGCACATCATTTACTTTTTGCAGTGTCCCAACTTTTTTGGAAATGGGGTTGTACATGTTCCACTGACTCAACATTTTTGCATAATTCAACCATGAGATGTAAACAAAGTGGAGAGATTTACTGTGTCAGATTTTTATAGTGGTTTTGATAGGAACCAGAGATCACAATGTAATCAAAGCAAATAATGACTATTTTATTTACCATCCAAAACAACCAATGAACCTCTTTTAAATTTTATGTGTAATGTTGTTAATGGTAAACTAGTGGTAAATCTAAAAAAAAATACATTTTGTTTGGGCACTATTTTGCCTTACAAAGCATGTGCCTCTTTGCCATGAATGTCTTTAAAAAATATGTTTTTAGGCAAAACCTCTTGACACTATCATAAAACATAGTTTATTTAATAACTTTCTGTGAGGGAGCTTTTAGACATTAAATGCTTTGGACTTCTAGTTCCTATCACCACCATTGCGATCAGTGCTGACTTGGTAAGTTTCTTTAAAACGGTGCATTTTCACATCAAACCACTCTGGATTACTTTGTTTATGTGTTAAAAGAGGAAGAGTTACTTATGGATATTTTCTGGTACCAGAAGGTGCTGCATCATGCCAAACGTTTGAAAAAAACTTTTGAAGTCAAAAGCCATTTCAGAGAGCAAAGCGAGGGAAAAACTACTTGTGACACCTTTGGGCATGTTTCAAACAGAGAGAGAACACCGCAAAGCATGATATGCATGGTCTGTCCCATTCACTAGTGCAACCCCTTCTAAATCTCAACAACCATCCACTAACTTCCTCTCCCCTCACTCTCTCACACATACACCAAAAACAGAAACAGTGACTTGCCTTACTCCTGTCCACAACAGAAACAGCATACCAACAAGGAATACAGAACTAGCCACTATAGTTTGATGGAGCAGACTATATATTTTCTACATGACAGAGTCTAGTGACATGTTTGCATTTTCAGAGTTGGTAGTATGAAAAATTTAATTCTGAAACAACCATGAAACCATATAATAGACGTAACAGCAGAGAGACGACATCACAAACAGCAAACGATGAGCCTGGCTAAAGCACAAGAGGAAAACACACATGGGTCTATGAGATTAGCTTGTGAATGAAATGAGACAAACATTGTAATGTGAGACAAACGTTGTAATGTTATCAAATGAGCCTTTTTCTAATAGCTAGAGCTTATTTGTCAGCATTGCTTACTCAGTCATTAGTTACTAACAGGCAGCCTCCCTCAGCTCTGTTTTTCCCTTTTGGTGAGGTTCACAAAAGGATTGAGCTCCAGTCTGGATTTGATGTTCAAAAAGTCCAAACATCAAATCCTTCTTAAAATCTTCTGAAATCTTGAACTGTTGAACACGCTCATTCTCATTGCGTGTAGTGATGTGTTCTTGTCGGAGTTTGGGTTATTTATAGCAGCCACTCACTTCACCTCTTCCACAGTCCTTCTGTGTTGTGTGATAAACACCGACTTTTATTCCTGTATGTTCAACAACTCATTTTGGCATATTGACTGATTTTCTAAATTAATTTTTTTTAAAATTAAGTTTACTAATTTCACAGAAAATACAGCTCTAAAAATTCACAGAAAATAGAGCTCCAAAAGTAGCATTGCAAAACTCACGAACTTTTTAGCATCTGGAATAAAACCGTTCAATAACTCTACATTGCAAAATGTCAGTTTTTTGCTCTGAATGTTTATTTAGAGGGCCGGAGAATCGACCAAGACTATTTCACAGTGTGACTGATCCCCTTTAATGATTTGCAGAAATTTTGAAAAATCAGTGGAATTCCCCTGTAAATATGCATTTTATTTACAAGTAAAACTATACTTTCAGTAATAGACCACACACATTCACTGTACCACTTTCAACTGAAAAAATAATTCACCATTTAAACATAAAATACACCTTAACCCGGTGATTCTCAGACTGGTCGTGAGGGACTTGCAGAGGGTCCACATTCTTGCTCCAACCCAACTAGCAACAATTTTTGTAATAGTTATAATTTAAGAAAGAAAACAGATTATTTTAGCTGTCTGGTGACAAGTGCTAGGCTATCTGGTTACAAGTGCTAAACTGTTTAATTTCTCAACAACGTCAGCTTAATATGAACAGCAAAAATTCGCTGGCTCGGTAGGTCAGTGATGGAGCACGCCGCCTTACTGCCATCGCTTCTACCACATCCATGTCAGAGCATATCACAGTATTCAAACACCAGCTAGCAGACATCTAGATGTCTCTATTCTATCATAGTAGTTACAGGGGTGGACCGCAATATATCTGACACTCGCTATGTAAAAGCGTAAACTGCAGTGTGATTCTCTCGCACCAGAGTCCTCCTTTTAGGTACGCTTAAACTGAAATCAGCACTTTTTTGTCTTGTTTGATCTACAGTGACATGAATTTGCGATGCTATGTGAGTGACAGAGTGCTGCTTTAAGTTACACAGCTGCAAAAAACAGCTAGCCTGGGAAGCTAGCGTTCTCCCACTCTCCAATGACACAAATAAGGCATCCTCAGTTTACTTTCGTTTAAATCATGCATAAACTCACTTCTTTTTGTTCTTTTTGTTTTCTTTCGTTGCTTGGGAATGCACTAATACTAAAATATGACTAAGCGCTGAAACAGCGCTGTAGTTGTGAGGAGCGGGCGTGATTTTTAGGATGTTAGGAAAGAGGTGAGTTCTCTCTGGGACAGTATAGTTACGCCACTTATCTCGTCACTCACAGTTGGTCACAGGAGACGGGAATACATAACTCCGTTTCAGACGTTGCTAAAGTGTATTTGCCGACTCATTTCACTCCTTGACCCCTCCAGTCATGTCGAAAAACTGAGTAATGTTACTTTCCTTGCAGTAGAAAACGCCACCAGGGCTGTTGCTAGAACATGGAAGTGTGAGAATGGTGTTTTATATCAAAAATTAATCAAACCTTTCTTATAGTTCTATCTTGGATGTTATATTGTGACAATTATCGTTATTGTTTTATCGCCCAGCCCGACTGTAGCGTAATGAGATCCATCAGATTTAACACACAGTGTCAACTCCCAACATTTTATATATTTAAAAATAGACAAAGAAACAAAATAGTCATAGTATTATAAATTGCACAGTCCCAGCGGAGAGTTCAGTGTGCAGTGTGGAGCTGAATTGTGGGTGCTTACTCTCAGGTTGTCAGGCGATGCAGGAGAAGATAGGTCTATTAAAATGGCTTATGCAGTTCTTGTAAAAGAGTTCTGTTGAATTTTTTGCGTTTATCTGTACTTTCAGTATTTATGTGGCTGTGATGCTCTTGTCTTTGCAAACTATGTGCAAAAATGTGTGGGTGTGTTTTCAGGTGTTCCAGTTGGTTTTGCCTGCTGAGGTGAAGCCTGACAGCAGTACAGCACAGAGATCTCAAACCACCGGCCATCTGCTTCTCACTATGCCCAAGGTACTGCTGTAAAGGTACACCTAAATACACCTTAACACGGCACTGTAAATCTACAACTGAATACATCTTATCTGTAGACTTACACCCAAATACACCTTAACAAGGAACTATAAACCTACAATTTAATACATTTTAACATTGTACTATAAATCTACAACTGAATACACTTTAACTGTAAAACTGCAACAATCTATATATCTACCTATTTACCTATCTTTATATTATTAGATTGTATTTGAATTATTGTGCAATTTGGCAAACTTGTGGTGATTTAAATGTGCTTTATAAATAAATTTAATGACCTGACCTAAGTAGGTACTGCTGTAAAACTGCATATTAATACACTTCACTAGATACTATTTCAGTGTTCACAGTAAGAACTACATGTGAATACCCCGTAACTTGAACACACTGTACGCAGCTGCCATTAAACTGAACCTTCAGTAAATAAACTACACTACTGTACATTGTACCATTGTCGAGCTAAGAAAAATACGCCATTCAAACATAAAATATATTAAAATATACCTTAACCAAACCACATATGAAGCATTATGACACAAAACCACTTGCCACCCATCCCAAAGAAATACCTACTGCACCATAATTACATGTACAGTATGCACACAACTACTCTGTGATTAGAGCCTGCTAAATTATGCAAAGTACACTGTGATATCAGTACTCTTATTATTGACAGCTATAGTAAGCCTGATTTTTGCAGCACAATTACAGTAGGCCTCAGTTACCTCTGTTATATACAACTTGGTATACCTATTGATTAGTTGCTGATGAGTAAAGAGTAGAAGATCAGATGTGAGCACAGTGAAGGTTTATGAAGCAAGCATCATCAGACCATCCTTACTTTAGTGAGCATGTAAAACTTTTGCCTTTACTGTTTGTTTTGTTTTCTCCAAGGAAGAACTTTGTCGCATTCATTTGGAATGTAAACAAATACTATGAAGTTTGGGAAATGGTAGTTGTCAGTTATTAATTCAGCTGGCCTCTGTTATCCTAGTTTAACTGGTTGATAGCGTCTGGCTGCAGACATGCAGAGTCAAGCTTGTATCTTGCTGCTCCAGCAGAAGGACCCTGTCATATTATCAGGGGCCCGTCATAAGAAGTGGATGATAGGTTCATCTTTAAAGCTCCACGGTGCCAAAATTTAGATTTAGTACCAACCTTATCTTCCCGAGTGTTTTTGAAATAAACCCGGGGGATATCAGAGGGGGAGGGGTATACTAATATAGAATGGACATCCAAACTCATCTCAGTGTTCCTTTAACTAATTGGGTATTAAAATAAAACATGTACAGTGAAAAAGTATTTTCCCCTCCTGATCAACAAGTTAACTACGTTTAGTTGATAATGGGATCAATTACACTAGACACACCCTGGCTTGCTTACTGTCAGCACTGTTGAATCTAAACTCACTTAAACAGAACCTTTTCAGCAATGTAAAGTAGACTAAAAGGTCTCACGGGAAAGGATTATAAAGACATATCTAAGGCTCTGACACCACAATAAAAGCCATTATTTACGAATGGGGAAAACATAGAACAGTGGTGAATCTCCCGGATGTGGCCAATGATGGCTTATCCAGGAAATCACAAAAGAACCAGATGAACATCGAAGGTACTGGAGGCCTTGCTCGCCTCAGATAAGATCAGCATTCATAAATTCCACCATTAAAAAGAGACTGGGCGAAAATGATATCAGTGGGATAGTTGCAAACCGGAAAACATTACTAACCACAAGGAACGTAAAAGCTTGTCTCACATTTGCCCATGATGACCCCAAGCCTTTTGGAATAATGTTCGATGGACTGATGAATTGAAAGTGGACCTCTCTAGGGAAGGGGCACAGCATTACACAACAAGACCATCATACCAGCAGTTGAACGTGGTGGTGGTAGTGTGATGGTGCGGGAATGCTTTGGTGCTTCAGGGCTTGGGTGACTTGCCATAATTGATGGAACCATGAATTCTGCTCTCTACAAAAAAAAAATCCTGTATTTTGTGCATTCTCTGTATGGCCTCCTGTTCTCTTTGTCTTATATTACATTCTTCTAAAAAATAATAAATAAATAAATAAATAAATAAATAGATAATAAATAGATAAATAAAGTGAATGTGCAGCATTGAACCACAGTGATGTTGAAACACAAGCTGCAGATATCGCACCTCGTGACACGAAGTGTACCCTTGTTTATTCATAGCAGTTATTTTGGAAATTGAAAAAAATGGGACAAAATATACTTTTTTTTTATACGGCTATCTATATACTTTGGGAGCTGCCCAAATGTAGCCTATGTACAAGAAGCACTCATCCCATTTCGAAGGGTGTATAGGTGTTTTTCTGGTATAATCAAGACCACTTGAAAGCAGCATTTGGACAGGCTTGTGGGAGCATGACCATGGGGTGCAATCATGTATAACTGTGCATATTGATTTGTGTTTGCTTAGGCACATGGAGAGATAAAAGTAAAGAAGGCAGTCCTGAAACCATCCCATGTTAAGAAGAGCAACAAGAATGCAGAGGAAAAGCCCAAGTAAGCAACCATTTCTTATTTGCTTAATATTTAATATTAATATTATTATATATATATTAATATTAATATATATAATTAATATTTAATTTTTAAAAATGCATTATTTTCCTGAACACAGAACAGCATAAAGTACATCCATGTACATGCGTCGTCAGCGAGCGCAAACCACTTCACTTAGCCAGTGAGCTACTCCGCTCGCCATCCAGTCAGCAGTCAGTAGCAGTAATGCTAGCATCCTAGCGCCAAGTTTTATTTGCTTTTTCAGTGAAATACATCTGTCTGCTTTTTTAAATTAAAGGAGTGTCCTGGGCCAGTGATTAGAAAGTATTTTACTTTTCATTTTTAGCTGTTAAGCTCCTTTCACCCCTATTCATTGAGGACTCCCTTGCAGGTGCCCTCTGGTGTTTTGCAGGCATGTTTTTGATATAATGGGGAAGTAGGAAGTGGCTTGGCTCCCCATACACAGGCTCTGTACACTTCATTATCCACCTTATTCCTGTGCCCCATTATGACTTTATAGACAGACAATACGTTGAATGCTTATCCTGAAATGATAGAAATGTGGGAATAAACAAAAATATCAATAATCTTTATTGTTGAGATGTTTGAATGCTTGTGTGCTAATCTTTGTGGCTGAATCGATCTGTCTGTCCACAAAAACCTGACCCTTTGTGAGAGAAAAAATTTAGTCAGAGGATCCAGTTTATAGCTTACACCAGTGGTTCTTAAACTGTTTACAGCTCCATACCCCCACAGACATTTTACCACCTGCTGTATACCCTTTCTCACTTCTTATATATGCACATGCACATGTTGCCATGATGCAAATGTAAGACATTTCGCCTTATAAAATCAGTGTCCCTTAAATTATCAAAATGTTCATGGTGCGATGACACCAAATATACTAACTAATATTGAATAAATAATGTTATTCACAGGTGCACAGTGGTCTATTTGAGGGCATATGTGCATGTGTGAGACAGTCTGCACTGAAAATGAACAGTGAATAACAAAATATAATAAATAAATAAATAAATAAATAAAAACCACTACGGCCTCTGCAACTTCCTTCCACATACACACGCAGACAAAGCTCCAAGTACAAAAACTCCTGCTGATCCCACTCCGCTTCTTGGGGTTTTGGTAGATCTGCGGAAGTTGGTGGTGTAGTGTGTGAGAGGCAGAAAGGGTTTGACTAGGGTCACTAAGGGTCACTAACATTCTCAGCACTGCAGTGACACTGACATGGTGGTAGAGTGTTAGTGCGTGTCGCACTGGTGCGAGTGGATTAGACACAGCAATGCAGCTGGAGTTTTTAAACACCGTGTCAGTTCACAGTCCTCTCTATGAGGCACACTCACCTTTTTGGTCCAGCTTGTAAAATGTAAAGTCAGAGACAATAGTTCATTTGTCAGTTTGTGTTGGTTATCCTCTAGTCCTTCATCAGTGGTCACAGGACGGTGCCCACAGAATGCTGTTGGCTGAATATTTTTGGATGGTGGACTGTTCCCAGTCCAGCAGTGACACTGAGGTGTAGGAGTTTTATATTGTTCATAAGCCCTTTGATCCTAATAAAGCCTCCCTGGCCTTTCAGTGATATTACCGGAATGTATAAGTGAACTGAAGCTCAGTCATAAACAGTGTTTTATGTCAGTGAGATTAAAATGCACTGTTGTGTTTGTGCTGTACATGCTCTGCCTCATCCACCACCCCCACCACACATAGGAAATATGAAGAGTGCTACTGAGTCACAGCTACACATCTGATCCTCTCTTTATATAACACAAACCCTCTTTCACACTCCTTTTCTTTTTTTCTTTTGCTTTCACAGTCTTTTTCCTCTTTGCTGTGCCTTTCTCTCTACTTTTGCTGTCTCTGCTCTCTTTCTGTCTTGCACATCCGCTTGCTTCTCTCATTCTCCCTCAGCCTCTCTGCTCAGTGGTTCACTGTGGGAGGTCTAGACCGGTCACCTTCACTCCAGCACTGGAATATACTAGGCTGTGTGTGCATGAGTGAGAGAGAGAGAGAGGCAGAGAAAGGCCATTTGTGTGTGTACACTATAAAACATGGTAAATGTGAGTTTATGCAAACGTTTAAAAGAAACTAATTGCCTTGGGTAATTTGAGCTGTTCTAACTTAATTTATTTACGCCTCTTCATCTAATTAGGGCTGGAATGACTCAGCAATGCTCTGCTTTCCTTTCGATTTTGTTGTGGTTTCGTTCCATTCTGTGCCAGATGTACAATACTGCACAAAACTCAGAGATCTCCCTTTCGTTTATTTCATTTCCAGGCAAAATGGCAATTAAGTACAAGTTTATCATTTTGCAGTGTCTGGGGACAAAGCAGAAAACATAAAAGCCCTAACAGTCAAATATAATATTAGTCTATCAGTATTTAATTTATCCAGTCTTTGATTTTGCGCACATACTGCCAATTTTAACTCGAGTCGTTCTAATCTTTAAGCCAACCAGTTACAGCTGTGTCCTCTCAGAAAAAGCTGTTCCCAAAGCTCTCGCTGACATTATGTTCCTTTTCAAAGAGACAATAACATTCACAAAAACAACTACCCAAACTCACCTTAGGTCTTGCACATTTATTTCTCATGTCTATCTAAAATGGCAAAACGTTTGATTTACTAAGACTGTAGCTTATTATGCAAACTATGCAATATATGCCACGCCCACTAACTGTTAGTGATCCGCAGGGTTTAAAAGAAGCAGTGGAATTATGGAGCAGTGAACAAACCCGGGACAAAACGTAGCAGCTTTAAAGCCCCTGTCTACTCATGTTCATCATTTTTTTCTAGTTATTCTCTACAGCTTATAGACTGGCAGAGAAGGAACGCTTTCTGTCTTCTCTGTTGAGAGATTTTTTAAAATTAGTTTTCTGCCATTTTCTTCTGTTCGATTTGAGTTGGCTGGGTCTAAATTTGGTGCAGGTAATAGCGGATATGCCATAGTGCCAGAGTTATCAGTCCCCAGCCACTGCCAGCAAGTAGGTGAGCTTTTCTAAATTTTTGTTAACGGTGCTTGTCATGAAGGTTTATTACACCGTTGCTGCTTTCTACCTGCTTTAGCCACCTGTTGCAGGGTCATGCCATCAACGACTAACTTTGTTTATGAGAGCGCAATAGCTAGCGGCCCATCTTAACTGTAGGAATAAAATGATACATTACCTACTTCCCCCCCTCAACATCAAGGCTCAATTTGTTTCCCCAAATATGACCGTGCTAACTCATAATGGCAGTTTGAAAAATACACTGAAAACAGCTGCTACTGACAGTGTGAGTGACTGTGTTGTTTATTAAACTTCAGCAGAGTCTGGTACCTGTAGATAAGTGTGAGTGTATGGGACGCACGTATGAGGCAAATCGCTTGGGAAATTCAGGTGTGAAACAACATTCAGCAGTGTTTTTGCTGAGCCAGAGAAGCTGCTGCATGCTTACACATACAGACCACAGGTTTGTTTATATTATTGTTTAGTTCTTAATTGTCTAGTTTTTAATTTTGCTCAATAAAAATATTTTGCATTTTCTTCAGTTGTTAATGTTGCTATTACTAATTATATAACAGTGCATAGTAATTATATAAAAAAAATAAATAAACAAAAATAGGTTTTCTTAGGTTACAGTTAGCATTGGTATCTGTCGATACTTAAGGACCAGGTATCAGTATCGGAATCAGAAGGGAAAAAGCGGTATCGGTGCAACCCTAGTTTTAATAAATGGAGTTTTTTCCCTCAAAACATTTTACAGGGGTGTGTATAATATACTTTGTGAAATATACTTTGTCAACACACATTATGGCACATTTTGTGCTGCATCTTCTCACATATGTACATCTGATCCTGTGAATTTAATCACAGTTGTTCTAATGGTAACATTCTTTCACCACGTGTTTGTAGCTCATGCCTTCATCTAATCGTCTTTGGAGACCTTAATGTAACTTTTTACCAACTTTTGTAAATCAAGCGGTATATGTAATCAGCTGCATGTATAATATCTCCACCCTCTTTTTGTGTGATCCTACCATGTTTGCACCCCCCCCTACCCCCGCATATGCATGAGGGAGATAAGCACGTTGTGTGTTTTTCCATGCACACAGCCCAGAAACTGCATGTTTAAAGCTCCAGTTTCGTACATAACATGCAGGCAGAATGTGTCTGATTTGTGGCTGAAACTAATGCAAAAGTCTTAAAGGGGAAATGTCTGTATAATTAAAATTTTAAGATGTAAACAAAGTCAATCAAAGTGGTTTGATGTCAAATGCTGAGGTCTGGAGAAACTTACTGGTTCACAATGGTGGTGATGGGAACCAGACGTTTAATTCCTCTAAATGCTCTCTCACAGAAGGTTATTATATGACATGGCTATGAATATACTGCCTGATGCCTGAGACATTGTTTTATAGTAGTTTTGAGAAACAAATTGGCCTAAAACATATTTGTGAAATACTTTCATGGAGAAGAGATACATGCAGGCCAGTACACAAAGAAAAATGATTTTATTCAGATTTATCAATAGTTTGTCATGACCAACATTACATATGAAAACTGAGAAGACGTGTTGTTTTGGATAGTGAATAAAATGACTGTATTTGTGTTGTAGACATCGCCACCCCTGGTTCCCATCACCACCACTGTAAAGAAAGTCACTAAGCTTCAAACCACATTGAATGACTTTGCTTACATCTCAGTAAATGAATTATGCAGATATTTTAAAAAATCAGTGGAATTCTCCTTTAACAGATCAGACCCTCTGCGTTTGCGTGTGTGAGCATGTGTGCGTATGTCCGTGAGTCCTTCAGCAGGCTTTATTATCTCAGAGAGGGAGGGCCGTAATCCTCACGCACAGCACACATGCAATAAAGGCAATGCAATAAAAATGCTAATACAGTGTTAATAAAATGTGAAGGGAATTTTCTTGCAACTACATGCACCTACGACCTGACCTCTGCTAGGTGTGGGGGATTTTACAAACACACAAACTGTATCTGTGTAGCTTTCTGTGTGATCTGACAGTAATAAGGAGCAAGTGCTGCTTTCTTAGTGAAGTTAATTAAGTGCATGTGTTTGTGAGTGCTATACTGGCTCAGGAAGTAGAATGTCACTGGCTGTAATCAGTGATGTGGCAGCCAATCAGGGTCCAGCAGCAGGTCTAATTCGATTCCTGTTGATTTATTTTAAAAGCCTGCAGCCAGAGAGAGACAGTGACCCTGCAACAGAGACACTTTTTTAGAGAGAGAGAGAGAGAGAGAGAGAGAGAGAGGGGGAGAGAGAGAGAGAGAGAGAGAGAGAGAGAGAGAGAGAGGGAGAGAGAGAGAGAGAGAGAGGGAGGGAGGGAGAGAAAGCCTTCCAGATAGAAACAGGAAAATACAGAAAGGCCAGATAGAACAGTTTTAACATCTTCTGCTAGTCGCTCAATAGTGAGGTTTTTTTTGAAGTACAACCTGCACCTCTCCCGCTATGCTTAGCATAGTTCTTTATAATGACAGGCTCATTTCTTTATTCCACATTCAGTATTGTACATTTATTGTCAGATCTTGATTCTTTATTTATATTGTTCTTGTTGTGCTATTCTTTTGCTAATAGGGTGTCGACCAAAGGGGAATTAGTTTCCCTTTGGAGTCTTAGGTCCTTGCAAGGTTTCTTCCTCTTGCTTTTAGAGACTTTTTCCTTGCCACTGTAGCCCTTGTCTTGCTCATTTGGGATTTCTGTAAAGCAGCTTTTTGACAATGCCCATTGTAAAAGAATTCTGTTGCATAGCATCTTGCCAATAAACTCCCCCAAGAAGTGCAGCACATGACGCTAATTTCAAACATCTTGCTGTAGTTTTGTATTTATCGCAAAGTCCTTTTACTGGTAAATATTTATTTTGGAGTTTATGTGGCTTCAAATTGCAATCATTTTCGCCATTTTGCTGTTGTAACGTCAAAATAAGCGTTTACTGTTTCAGGGGCAGCTCACTTTCTGGTTCTGTTTGTGCACTGCTGTAGAAAAACAAAAGAAGTCAGAGTTAGGATAGACATGATTTGAAAAACCTGATTACTGAGCTAAGCCCCAAGTCTCTTTATCACATTTCTTGAAATCCTATAAAGGCTTAATCTGATCTGACAAATCAGAGCATGCTATTTACATGATCACTTTAATGATCAGATAACTGCCAAAATCCGATAGTGACTTTATTATTGGCATGCATCTAATTGCACTCTTTGTTTCTGACACTGTATGCATAGCTTAAGACTGCCTTTGCTGCGAGATATAAATCTCAGAGGTTTTCACATCCCCTGAGCACTGTGCAGTGTCATCAAAGTGACTACCAATACCAGACTCATTTGTGTATTTGGATTGCACTGGCCAGCATTACTAACCAACACAACCTCTTCAAATTAAAGAACTGATTACTGAGTACTGATTTTGTACGTTGACTTTTAAAAAGGCTACTAAAAGGATGCTAACCACAATCAAGCAGAATATACACAGCACACGTATGCAGTAGAAAAGTATTTCAAATGCAGCATTATTTTAATGAATTGTGAAATCAAATCGAGGAACAATGCACTTTTTGTAAAGTAAGTAGACATGCTGTAAAAATCACTGCATCATGGGATTAATAGGTGTTTGACATTACAATAAGCTTTAAAATACTCCTAAAGTCAATTTAAACCATAAAAAATCAATGCTGAATAATACACACACATCTTCTAGGCCACTTATCCTTCTGGGTGGCGGGGGGAGCTGGAGCCTATCCCAGCAGTCATTGGGTGGAAGGCAGGATACACCCCGGACAGGTCACCAGTCCATCGCAGGGCAGACATGCTGAATAATAAATTGTTAGATTTATTGTTATGCCCAGGAAGTACTAAAATGTCCTAGGATCATCCCTAAAACTAAATGCACTCAGAATGCAAAGAACTATGAAAATGTACCATCATGCAACTTATTAACTCCCCTTTCAGTTTCCAAACCCCACCCCTTCCTTCTTTTCCGCCAACACCCTGCAGGCGAATACAGCCGTCTATGTCTGACCAGGCTGAATACATGAGATGGTGCAGAACAAAAACAAAGATAAGTAATTATAATTAATCCCATTGTGATTAATAGTCAGAAAATTAGCTAGCGGGACTTTTAATTTATCATCCAATAAATGTTAAACCATAAACTGAATAACAATTGCTAAATGTTGAACAGTGTTATGGAGAGCACAGTTAAGCTGATTATACTCGCGCTTGCTTAGCAGGCTAATAACTCCTCATCACACCACAGAACGGGTTAGATTCTGTCTTTGTGTCACTTCAGTACCCAACCATTCAACGTCACTCAGTTTTGATTTTTTTTTCTCTAAACTTCAGTGTCAGGGGAGCAAACCTGTGCTTTGGTGTTTGTGGCTGTAGCATGCTAAGGACAGTTCTACACCATCATTTTTATTAGATCTGACACAATCACAATTTTAAATACTATCTTTTATCTGTTTTTGCTAACTGTTAGCTGCAGTCTGAAAGTCTCAAAATTAAGTTAGCTACGAAGTTAGCACAGAAATGTTCTGTAGGATTTGTTTGGAACAGGTGCAAGCTTATTTGTGACATACTGAAACTGAAAAATGAAGCTGATATATATACCCTGCAAATTGCATTTTTTGGATATGGTGAGAAGGCCTTTGTTTTTTCAATGGAGAAATGTGCTGTGGTCATAATAAGTAATCCAACAGGAATTAACCATTTAAATAACACATTTTTTAAGGAAAGGGTTACATGAAAGCAAGCTGAACGCTCATACAACAATTTGTGACAAAATAATAAATGTAAACTTTTCTAATTGTTTGAGATTTTGGAGCAACATATGCTGCCTTCTAGAGAATGTCTTTTTCAGGGATGTGCATGCATGTTTAAACCTGACAACGCCAAGCCAAGTGTTACAACAGCATGGCTTTGTAGTCAGATTGTGGGTGCTAGATGGCCTACCTGCAGTCGAAAACTGTCTGTAATTGAAGTGTGTGTTACATTATTAAAATACGTTGCATTATTAAAATACGACATTAAAGGCCCTGTACGGTTGCACAGCCGAAGACTTGTGTAACTGAAGAATGGCAAGGACATTCTGCTTTCAAAATGCAATCAGTTTGTGTCTTCAGTCCTGCCCAATCTTTTTGTAAAGGAGTTTGAAATTAGCATATTTTTACAACAACTATGAAGTTCATAAGGTCAAAACAAATGTTGTGGTTTTGTACTCTTTTAAATTTAATACAGGTCAAATGAATTTTACTTATCAATGCTTTCTGGTTTTATTGGCATTTGTCCCAACTTTTTGAGGACCTGGTTTGTACAATTACATTCACAGTTATGCTGTATCACATTCTGTTATTTATAAAAACTGTCAAAAGTATGGACAAAATTCAGGCTTTAAAATAGCTGCTTCTACTGTTGTTAGCTACACAACATACTTTTGTCCATTTTTATAATGTCATTATGTCATACAGTCTCAGAAACCAAATAAGCAAGAAATTCCTTAACTACTCATTGGCAACTTTAAGGCAAGTGGTGATTGGTGAAGTAGTTTTTAGCTACATTACTCTCAGCTCCAGGGCAAAACAAAATTTTGATGCCCAACATGTCTTGGCTGATTGGATACATTTGGGTTGAGGACCAGCACTTTATATGGGACGTTAAAATAAAGAAATACATTTACCCAGAAATACCCATGAATAATAACTGATAGAGACAACAAAAAGTCAAGGTCACTTCAGTGTCTTCCCTTCACCGGACTTCCTCAACACCCCCCTCTCTTTTATCTCTCTTGCTCCCTGCAGGGTGATGACTGGTTGTGAGAGATTAGAGGTCGACCCCAGCAAAATCTCTACTGTAGACCTGGCCAACATTGTCCCTAAAGAAAACTACACTGCCCAGGGACCCCTGCCGTTCTCCTGGGGACTACAAGCTTGTGGAGCCCAAGAGAAGCCCGTTTCCAAGGAGTTTGTGGATGACCCAGAAGTGCCCCCACTCATCTGACACAAATAAAAGGTGAGAGTTTCCACGTACAGCTGTGCATGTTTTGGAATACATGATATGGACATATGGATTTGATTGATCAATACACCCACAGAACTCTCATCTGGAATGTCTGAAGTTAGTCAATATTCTCACATCACGCAATAAAAAACTTAGTGATTGATCATTTGTATATTGCAGGATTCTGTAATAACAGTATCACAAAGATGGGTATTGTAATAGGTATTGACCTATCCACCCACAAATGTGTTCTTTTGTGTTCACTCTTTACTGCTGAGCAAATGCTGGCAAAAATGTCTGTTTCAAATTTTATGTAACATCACCTGTTTGGATAGATATTTTTGGTAGGCTAAGCAGAAAGTTAAGCTGCTAAGAATTTTTTTCTCTAAACATAGTCTGTTAGATATGTTTAGTGTCTTAGCTTTTTAGATCTACAATGGATCTATAAGGCTAAAACAGCTAAAAATAGCAGAAATTGCATAGACTTCTAGATTGGGTAAATTAGAGTTTCTCCGTGAAGCATTTACTGTGTTTGACCTTTTATTTATGTATTTATTTCCACAAAGTGTTTATACACTTTTTTTTTTCTTGGCAACAGCCTCTAATACCAAAGTGGACACAGAAGCAAACACAGTTGAAGTTGAAGCTTAATCTGTGTCAAATAAAATAATATAATTCAGTAAATTTGTGGTTGTATTATATTGTCATCTTGAATTTGGCCACAAAGTTTACTAATTGATCTACTAATGGCAGCCGTAACAAGATTATACTTTGAAGTAATATGCAAAACCTCTAAGATATTAATCTTTGGGATTATAGTGTTTACATTTAACCTTCAAGAGAGTTGAATAAGCCTGGACAGCCTTTTCCAGCACCCTAAGCGAGGAAGATTATCAGGTTATTTTTTGAAATACAGTAAATCCTCTAAGATAATAATCAATCCTTGTGATTGAAGTGCTAGCATTTAAATAAATATGTAGGATATCACATCACCCATGTTCCAAAGTCCAGTAGTGTTAATGTGAGGGACTACTAGTGTCTTGCTATGGTTTACATGAGATAAACAAAAAAATAAACAATGTATTAAACTGGGGGCTGTTACCATGGTCTGTCTGTCTGTCTGTCTATCTATCTATCTATCTATCTATCTATCCATCTATCTATCTACCTACCTATCTATCTATCAGCTAGAAACCTTACAAAGCTACATTTGCTGAACTCTGCCTTTCTGCTTAGCATAATTGGATATTTAGCCCTAAAAAGTGTATTTACATGACAATGAACACCTTCAACACACATACATACTAAATATCATTTAAAATATCAATTCTAAATGTACTCTAAATGCTGCAGTTTCTCATTAGGTTGAATGGGACTTTTGTAAATGGTCTGTAATGCTTGTCCAATCTTGCTGCAAGTGTGGGTGGATCCTGGAAAGGTCAGCTGACAATATATTGGTCCTTTTGCAAAAATAGGACAGAGGTTCTAAATCCCAGTTCCCATTGCACATATTCATTTTCCCTTAATCTAACACCCCTCATCTATCTCCTGAACCAAGTGAGTCAGGTGTGTTAGAGCAGTGAAAACTGGGACTGTAAATTTGTTTGTGAATTAGCATGTAGGCTGAGTGTTATTAAAGCAAATTCTCTCTTCTACTCTATGTGTGTGTGTGTGTGTGTGTGCGTGTGGATGTAGGTAATAGATAATGGATGCGAGTGACTCTTGGTCCCCCTGACTCTGATGAGGCAGTTTCATCATTGCATCCATCTTCTTTACACACCTAGGCTGATTCATCGAGGTCTTATGTCACACTCATGGATACACACACATCCTTCTGCTTCCTGTCACATATTCAAGCCACAATAGTGTTTTTTTCAGCATTTTTTGCAGTACTGTTCAAAAGTCAAAAAACAATTTTCAGTCAAAACAGATATTAAGTGCAGGTTATTCATTTTTCAGTGTTGGAGAAAAAAAGCAGAAAACAAATATTTTAACAGAAAGAGGCCCCAGTGACTCCCCCAGGGACATTTTTCAGTATTTACTGTGTCCATTGTTTGCCTTTATTACAGCTTCCCTTTTTGGGAGATTTGCTTTCAGTTTTTCAAATAAATCTGCAGGTCATGTTTTTCCAGACCTCCGAAATTCACTCTTTGGAAGTTGGTTGCATTTACTGCTTCACACAGTCAAAGTAATCCCAAACACATTCAGTGATGTTGACTTCTGGACTCAACCACTGGTGTAGTCAGTTCATTGTTCTGAGAACACCAGCAGCTTCTTTGTTTGATTTGCAGATGTTCTTCTTTTTTGTCTTTTTTGTTCTTTTTTTTCGTCTTCTCACAGTGGAAGGATGGACAGAAATAATGGATTTTCTCAGATCTGAAGCAAAAGTGGAGCTTGATTTTCTCCTCTCTCTCAAAGATGAAAGTACTGTTTATCTGATGCTCACAGTTTTGGTGGTCTATCAGGTCTTGCACAGCTGTGAGGGGACCCATTTTCTTTGTATCTTTTAAAGGGGTCAGTTTCCTCAACACAGATTATGCCTAGTCATGAACTAAATTGCAGTGCCAATGGTGACTCATCATTGCGAATTCTTTTTTGGTCTAGGCTTAGGTTTAATCAGGGTCTGGGAAACTGGCCAAATATTTTTTTAAAAATTCATTTTCTGAGACTTTTTTTTTTCACTCATTAAGTCCCTTTGACTTCCCCCTTTAGCCATGTGTATTATCTTAATATCTGATCTCCTCAGAAATATCAGAAATATCTCATGCAAAAATGAATATCTTGTACTTAATGGCCATAGTGACTGAAAATTAAATAAATAAGGGGTGGTCTGTGACTTTTGCACAGTACAAAGGACAAACACTGTATAGTGGTTAGAGGCTACAAATGGTGTTGCTCTGATATTAATGGAATTTGGGGTAAGTGAGAGATATGGTGGAAAATGATTAATGGTAAGATTATGGGGTGAAAAGGGTTAGATACTATATTTTTTCTCCTTTACTGTCTTTCAGTTGCCCGTTTGTCAAATGTGAGAAATCATTTTTATTGTTTCTTATGATGTGTTACACTTCAGTGTTTTGGTCATTCCTTTCCTCTTTTTCAGCAAGGTATTTACTTATGAGGGGAAAAGTTTCGAACTGTATATTTAGCCTAAATGATGGCTTCATTCCTTTTGCTTATGAAAGAAATAACAAACAGAGGTCTTGTTGAATGGTGAATGTGGAATGTATAATTGCTGCTCCCTCTGTCAAAAGAAAACAAATAAATAAAACAAATTACTAAAAAATACTGTCCAAACTCTCTGTTTGCTATGTCATTGTCTTCCTTGCTAATAAATTTAGGCTTCTATTCTGTTCTTGAGTGGATGCATAAATGTATACCTGTCTTGAGCATTGTGGTACATGTCTTGTTAATACAGCTTCTAAAGACCCTAGGGATAAGCTACACCTTTGCTGGTTGTGTCAGTAAAGTTGCCCAGGCACTACAGATCATTTCCTCCCTTTGCTTTTCCTCCCTGTAGTACAGAATGTAGAATATTGCCTGCACAGTGCTGTTATTGTAAGTCTTATTTGCGCTATGTCTGCAGTTAATATTATATTTTTTTATATGTTTATTCACTTTTTGGCACACAAACCAAGAAAGTATTAGCATTTCTTAGTAGCCACACTGATAACATTAAAATCTGAGTTGATGGTTTAGGAATATAGATGACTTACGAGCTAACAAATCTTTGTTTACTTAACCAGTTAGGGCACTGGTTGCAAACCTGGTCCTTAGGGCCCCCTTAGACAGCACTTTTTCTGCTGCCCAACTCACAACACAGAGGTAAAAGGGGAAAAATGTAGATCATCTGAGGGGCCCTGGGGAGCAGGTTAGGAAGACTTCAACACAATATGAAGAAAGCAAAGCAACATTGATGGTGAAGATGCAGGTGGTGGACAGCTTTTGCCTATTTGAATAAATTATTAACAATGACGAATCCAGCCCTCAGGAAATACTATCCAGATTGGTACTCGGTAGAACAACGATGAAGGACCTTTAAAAGATGTAAGGATGTGTCTCTACAAAGATCAGACTTGTCCAGGCTGTGGTCTTTTTTGTGATTCTTTAGCAGGACAAGAAAGAAGCTGAACAGGAAAAATATTGATACTATTAAATTTCTTTTGGCCAAGGCTTTAGAGAGAAGCTTGGAGGGCAAAGAAAGCAAATAGATTCTTGACCAAATTAAGGCTCACCTCTCACTCAAAGCCCAGATAGCCAAACTGAAGCTTGGTTCTTATTTTGTGCATATTATGAATAGAGCCAGTTAATTGAAAAGACAATTATGCTTGGAACCGTTGGAGGTAAAAGAGGAAGAGGATGGACCAGAAGCAAGATGGATAGAGACAGAAGAATCATAAACAAGTCATTAAGCAGCCTGTCAACTCAAAAAGAAGACAAGATATTCTAGAGAAACACTATTTATATGATCACCTGGAGTCAAAGTCACCTTGATGGTACTTAATAATAATAATATTAGTAAGAACACACAGCTAACCTTATGTGCTAAACAGCCTACTAACGAGATGAGATGGCTGATTTATTCCAATCTTAATAAAGCGACCAGTGAATGTACACTAAAGAGGGTACCAGGATGGTTGGTGTCTGGCTGATAGGGCCGGACCAGTCTGGGCAATGGTCCAGGACCAGTTTTTGATCCCAGTAAATTCCTGAGGGGTATTTCACAAGCAGGATTTCTCAGTTAGTCAGATAACTTAAGCCCAACGATGACGACTGTCCAATCCCTCAGCTCAGACTTTGGGCTTAAGTTATCTAGCTAAACTGAGAAATCCTGCTTTGTGAAATACTCCCCTGTCCACACTGGTAGACTAGGAGCCTGTTTACACCTTGCATTAACGTGTCTTGTGTCTGGATCGTATCTGGATATATTTTGACTAGAGTCCATTTACACTTTTCACTGAAACGTGTCCCCAGTTTGACGGCATGAGTTCCAATTTTCTTTTCCCTGCATAAAAAGCACATCAAGACGTGTTGTTTCTGTTTTACCTTTGTTTCTTTTTTTTTACCCATTACAATATAAGTTGACATGCTTGGCTTGGACGCTTTCATCAGCCCAGAGAAAGCTCTTGGTTTGAGGAACTCCAGCCTCCCATCTTGTTTATCTTTTTCACCACATTTCCATTCACATAATTGTATACAGACACAGAAAATGCATTCCATTTACACTTGTACTAAATGTGGTCAAGATCCATCTCTGACTGCCTCTGGATGTGGGTAGATCCAGAGCACAGATTTGACTGTCCTGAATGATGTTCGAACTACTTTGCGTCTGATTCAGGAAACTGTCATACAAAGACAAAACAAAGTGATTCGGGTGCAACTGATATGAATCAGCTACAGTGCGTGAAAATAAGCACCACCACATGAGTACTTTATTTACATTTAACTTACATGGACATGAGCATGAGCTTCTACTGTACTAGCTACGTTTTGTGTTCTAGGAAGGTAGATAGTTACAGTATCGGTAGTATAAAACAACATATAGGAACATACAGTCGCAGCATTTGTTTATATCAGTGTGCACATAAAAAAGAAGTGCATGCACTTAAGTACAAGAATCATTGTGTGCAAAGTTGTTCATATTATTATTGTATTTTTACTGTCACTGCAGAAGATATTGATAATAATTTTTATTATTTAATTGCAATTCAGGCCCTTTTCAGGCTGGTCAAATATTATGTACTTCTACCAGAGTTTGATTGTACAGATACACTAAAGATGAAATTGATGAATAACAAAACTGCTGGTGAAATTTTCATGCACCCATTTTACGTTTAGATTTGACCATACGCAACTTTGCTAAATAAGGACCAGTGGGTCTTGGAGGTGTTTACGCTTGGCTTTTCATGCAGTCAAGTAAAATCCGAACGTAATCAGATCACTGAAAATGCACGCTGGATGCAATGTCTAAACAGACTCTAGAAGTCTTTTTAACTCCTCTCAGCATGAGATGCAGATCAGAAGTGGATTGAGATCCTGTAGGGTCTGTTCACATCGGTACATGCACAAGTGGATTGACCTCTTGTGCTTCTTCACACTGGGAGAAGTGGATTTCAGTACTTTTCTTTGTCTGAGATGAAGAAAGGATGAATAAAACATGGCCATGTCACTGAGCAGTCAGACAGCCTGAATTATTTACACTCCCTCATCCTGACAAAGCTTCTCTCTCTTTCTCCATCACTAATCTTTCTTCCTCTCTCTCTCTTTCTCTCTCTCTCTCTCTGTCTGTCTCTCTTTAACCCTCCTTCTGTCTCATAACTGCAAGATGAAAAATCTTTTGTTTTGGTCTATTAATCGTACCTAACCTTAAGGCTCTGGACAGTTTTGATGTTGCTCTATTTTTATGTGTCTATTTGTCTTTTCTTGTTCTATTATGTCTTCAGTCTGCCCTGCCTCTTCCTCATGCAGCAGTGTGTCCTGGCCCATCCTGAGGATCAGTGTGTGTGTGTGTGTGTGTGTGTGTGTGTGTGTGTATGTGTGTGTTTAAGCCTCATGCTTCAGTACACTGTGTATCCAGCCTGGGGATCCCTGCCCTGCACTGTGCCAACGCCCTATTGCTCCAGAGGGCGGGATTAATACCAGCTACCCCCACAAAGACACAACAAACACACACAACTACCTCCAGTTTCTGCATTTCAGTCAGTCTATAAATGTTCCAAATCTATCTTTCATGCTTTTTTCATCAATATATAGTTCTGTTAAAAAGTCAGAGACCACCCTTCGTTTAATATCACATTGAAAAAGCCATTAAGTACAAGTTTTTTTAGCATCAGGAAAAGCAAAAACACATACACATACATTTCACATAAAATTACATAGAAGTAATCAACTAAATATCATCAACTAAATATGAAATCATTATTTTTGGTATTTGGAGTGTCTACCCTTTGGCTTTGTTCCAGTTTTTTGTTCTTTTCAGGAGACTCGCTTTCGGTTTTTCAAAGAAATCAGCAAGGATATTTTTCCACACCTCCAAAGTTCAGTCTTAGAGGTTGGTTTCTATTTTCTACTTCTCATGATCCAAGGGATCCCAAACACATTCAGTGATGTTAAGGTCTGGACTCTGCAGTGGTCTGTCCATTGTTCCAGGAACACCAGCAGCTAGTTTGTTTGATTT